CGTCATCTGGACATCATTAGCTTTGCAATTGTTGCAACACCATAGTAGTGGCCCAAATATATCTGTATGAAACCAGGAAGCTGACAGGTCTACAACGTTGTAAACTCGTTAACTTAAGCTTATTTGTCAGTTTGCAAGCACGAATCTTGGAAATTAGAATTTTGACAGTGATAAATGGACTACACTACACTGTATACTGGACATGAAATGAACCTAATCATATTTAGATGGTCATTTAATGCTGATTGGTCCACTAGTGGTCAACTACTGACCGTTATTTTGATTGATAACCATCACATTCATCATCAATATGGTCCAATTTGCCGCGTTTGCTTAAGTAAATATACATGTACTCAAAGTCTCGGCCATATTTGAAAAATATGTCTTATCGTTAAAAGGGTCCAACAAAGCTCAACTGAAAACCGTGATTTCAAGTATATGCCGACCAATGTATCTCAAAACAGATAATTTCAATTAATACGTTTAACAAGAAACAATATAATGCTCATGACCTGCAGATGCAATGACGAGTCGATATAGAATTGAAGCGAGATCTTTCTAGAGCATGTTACAATGGAAAGTTTCGTGGAACTGAGTGACATCTGACAACAATGGTGCAAACATTACGTCGTGTTGTATTGTTATTTTGAAGCTGCTTTAGGGCTTACAACCATCACGCCCAAATCAATAACCACCGTTTTGATTTGCGTCGCTGCCACGTAAACTGATCGTTGTTTTCTTGCAATTCACAAACGACTTTGGTTTATTTTTGTTAAATTGTCCTACTCGATAACTTATTTTTTAAAACACAAACTTAGCGGGAAAAAAATATTTAGCTCTTGAAATCATTAAGTAGAGGCAAGTTGGTATTTAAATTTCAAAACAACGTTTATGATGAAATAAAACAACTGCACTTGTATTAAGTATGATTTTGATTAGATTTTAATTAGCTTTTCACAAATAACTTTTCTGCACCATGCCTCTAAGATAACAATCGGCATTTCGTCTATTATGTTTTGTACTACTTCAAATTTGCCGAAAAAATTGCACAAGTAGTTATGTTTCTCTGAGGAGTTGACGCATGATCGAATTACATTGTTGCATAAGTTGCATTTAGCAGTTCAATTATGTAACACCTATGACAGCACATTTCAATGTTGTGTTTTCTGTTAGATATTGCTGAAATCCACGATGACCGTGTGCAAATCTTGGTTATAAGATATATGGATATATTCAAAGCCAGACTAAAATCAAATTAAAGTTTATATTAGGGTCGTTCCCAAATGAATCGTATTATATCTAAATGTTATACATATCGCTTCAAGGAAAATGTGTATTATATTTTTCTGAAAGTTCTCAGGTTAAGTGATCGAATGATACCAAAGGTTATCGTCTTAATAATGACTTAGTAACATTTAATCTCAAGTACCACTTTATCAACTAAACAGTTATATAGTAAGTACTTGGTCATAGTAAACCAGGTTTTTACTGTGGAATATAGAAATAGTTTCCTCCATTTCACTTCAATTATTGTTGCAAAAACTGATTTTGACAAATAATAATTACCCTGCATTCCTATGAGCTTCGTGACATTACAATACTATGTGCCATGGGCGCGTCTAGTCGTTCAGATGGGACAATAAACCGAGGTCCGGTGTGCTACACGCTGTCCCTCGACAGTTGGAAATCGTAACAGAGCAGGCTAATGCCGCTGTTTTGCCAAATTTCCCTCACTGCACCCTGCATGACGTTGTCCGACTTCATAAGCCCACATGGTGCAGAAAAGTAGGACGTAAAACTCCATTTTATTTCAATTGCCATGGGAGCACAGAAGCAAAACAACCCATTCATAGCGTGGGAATTTCTGTGAACGATTCAAACATAATCCTATGAAAGTAAAGAAACAAAATTAGTTCTCTACATTTTTCTGTACAGTTTTGTCGCAATTCAATTTCAAGCAGCTACTGTAGAAATGGTGTTTAAACTAAAATCGTCTCAAACCTTGACCCACTGTAGAAGAAATACAATCAATATATTTAGTAGCCTTGTAAACAGTGAAAATAAAAATTCTTAAAAAGATGATTCATTTGAATACATATAGACGATAAGAACTCTCATTGAGGAATCCCAGTATTTTGGCAAGATTCCGAGACTGGAAGATTGGTTTCTTGATTTGATGAGCAACTGTTATAAAACTGCAGTTCTAGTTGGAATGCGCATGTATTTATTGACCTTGTGGTGTAACTATAAATAGATCATGGTAGACGGTTGAGGAATTGTTTGTCAGATTATACTATAGATGTTAGTGAATGTATCTTCATCAGTTTATGTAACATCGGTACTGTGAAATCAATTTCATGGTCGTACAAGCCCCGACTTTAATACTGGATTTGATTGAGTATACTCCATTCTTATTTCGTACCCCGATTCTTCTCTAGCATTAAGCATGGGTGGAGAAAACCTAAATTGAGATGCTACCCTCGTTGGACAATTTGACGTTCACTATTCATGTGGCATTGCTTGTAAACGTTGAATGAGCCACGTACCAAAACTGTCAATACAATGCATTAGAATATGAGCTATGGGTTTTTTTTGGCTGCAAAAATATAAACTTTTTTAGTGATTGGTGACTTGCAGACATCAGAAGAACATTACACGAGACTTGCTATACTTTCATATATACACATTACCTCAAACGTCATGAAAAATGACTACAGAAATGATGCCTGGCGCATTGAAGAAGGCTTGCTTGGTCAGTTGTTACTACTTTTAAAAGATTATCATGGGATAAATGGAACAACTAAAGACACCAACACCCGTTCTTTTGCCAATCTGAACGCTCCGGTGATCTACAATTTCAGAACGGCAGGAAACGGAGATTTATGTATTTCATATCCCGTATACCCATATAACAACACAAGAAAAACCTCATGAATTCAAGCGTCTAGAAAAGACAGTTGTAAAGCTGATGGGATATTTCATCAATAGAGGATCTTCTCTGATTTATGATCTTTAAGACCTCGAATGTCATGGAACACTGCCAATCTAACTAAAACTAGCACTAATATTGGGTGTTTTCTCGTGAAACTATACGTCAAGAAATAATAAGATAGTTTTTCGCTGATTGTTTTGATTTCTTATTTTCTCAAGATGTTCTTAAGTACAACTCCCTTTACTCGATGTTGATGAATAAATCACGATTGTATAGAATTTGACATTAACGAATGAGAGACAACCATTTTCTTCAGGAGATAATTTGTTTCATTGGTTCTTCCGACAAAAAAACTGTAGATTTTTGCAATGAATGAGAAAATTATGCAAGGAAATATAAAAATATCTGAAATATGTACTTGTGCCAGCAAATAAAGCCGTAAACCCTGGCTATGGTCCGACAATTCAGAATGAGATTGACGAAGATCATCAGAATTTCAGACGAGATTGACTAAGATCATTAAGATTTCAGATATCAGATGAAATTGACATAAGATATCAACATTTCAGATATCAGAAGAGATTTACTAAGATCATGAAAATTTCAGATATCAGACAAGGTTGTCAAATCCAGACATCAAATAATACCGACTAAGATCATCAATATTTCAGATATCGCAAACAGGCTTCTTTTATTAGTCATTGCTAAAATATATCTCAATAAATCGTTCAATTAGAAATGATCCTAACATAACATCTAGAAAGCTGCAGGTATCTATTTCATTGAAATACTGCCAATTAATAATCTTACTATGATGTATAAATCAAAATATATCCCGGTAATTTACGTATATGATGTTCTAAAATTACCTTGTCTTATGTTTGTATTATATCTCAATATTGGCATAATTGATGTAGCTCTTGTGTAGGAACAAAAATGAAGTTGTACATGGGCAATTGGTTAAATTTTGCCAGGAGAACTGCTTCAGCTTTTACGGCTTTCCCACTTTCGAAATATAGAGTGCATCGAATTTGTCTCATATATGAACGTCGTTGACTATTAAAAGGTAAATTTACTCAAGGTTGATACTAAGATACTATGAGTGCCAAAGGAGAGTCAAATAGCTCAATATAATCGAATATTTTGGCAATTTTCCCATGGGTGGTAGCTGATAGATTGGTTTCCTCACCATGGATGTGTTCGTTTACTGTTGAAGTAAGATAGGATTAACACCATGGCCGTGTTCGATTACTGGTGTAGTATCCTACACATACCTGAGAGATGGTGTTGGACTTGGCACAGTAACTGTTATTTTATTAGTATTGTCCGACATAACAGTAATCTAATGGGAAATAAAGAAATTACTATGGGGTGTGGTTACTACAGGTGAATCCTTTTTAATTTAACTTGGTCAATGAAAGTCATTCATTAAAGGCTACTTGGTTGAAACGAGTTCAATATTTTTATTTTCCAAGCCTTAACGTGTAGAATTTTTAGATTAAATACCGCAATAGCATCAATTCTATGTTACAACAGTGATATTAGGTGTTTCGGAAGAAGGGCGTTATGTTTATAATATATTTAAGTTTATATAACCATAATTTTTACAACATATCTTTTAATAATACTAATGGTATGAGTAATCGAGGTTCTATAGGTTGCATATTTCACGTCTAATCCATAAAGTCGGTAACACATTTATTGAAAGAGTTTGGTTATGTTATTTACTGAGCCTGTATCACATCATCCGTGATACCTTTTAGCCACAAAAGCGAAGCATTAAAGAAGTCTATTAATAAACTGTTGATAAAAATAAAACTCATGATACAAACGGCTTTGCCAGTAAATCAACTGCAGACAAAACTATAAAAATGCTTACAAACGTTTTATCAATGACGACATTGTTGTTTTTTCTACGTATAATTCTCTAAAATATTCAAGAGAGCTGGAAAGCTCAATTTCGTGTATTAATTCTGATTCTTTGTCTATTTACAGGAACACACCCAAATAAAGAAACATAACACACCAGTATTTTGTATAGTTGGATGGTGTGACACAAACTGCTACCATGAAGACCACCATCTGCCTTAGTTGTGCTTTATCAAGTAAGTTTAAAAGGACAGCCCAGAAGGCTTTTGGAAGTTTGATATTCGAATTAATGCAAACTATAGACCAAAATCAAGTCAAAAGTGTCCCTAACCAAGACTGCAAGTTTCGAATGGCATGCAGTTAATTGTTTATACGCCAAAATCAAAAATGTAAACGCTGTAGTTGTAAAGATATACGTTTCAACAAAATAGTGGGATTACATATTTCGCACACAAAGATTCTATCCATTAATTATGTCAGCATTATTTGTACAATAGTTAACTTTCAGTTATGCTATTTGGTGGTAGGGATTTAATAAAAAAAATCCTACAAAATTGCTACCTAAAGGGAGGTAACAATATTATTTGAAATCATAATAATTATTCCTTAAAATCAGAATCTTGCAAATCATCAATGATCGATGATCTCTTGCATTAAGTTTTTCTTATTAACACACCAACGTTTTAAAACGATGCCAGTTTGTGATCTGCTATGTAAATTAACAATCAATCTTTGTAACGATTTCAAATTTTTGTTGAAAGGGAAATAACTGGTATTAAAACTTTAATCTGGGTTTCAAATGCATCTCAGTTCGCTGATATTGTAACTTGTAATATTTAATGCACTCAGAGATCCATATTTAGAATTATTGATTGGCTATTAAACATGAATATTGATATATTCGTCTGTTTCAGTAACATTCCTTACACTTCTCTCAACATGCCAAGGACAGAAATTTACAGTTACGCCTAGTGGAACTTATTATGTCACTCGTAGCAAGCCAGTTACTCTAGAATGTGAAGCCGAAAACGTAGACAATATGCAATATGCTTGTTCTAAGGAAATGCACGATTCCCAATTAACTGTTGCTGGTCGCGTATCAGATGATGGAACAGAAACACTGAAAGCTTCTTTGAAAGTTACTAAAGCAGATATACAAGGCTACAGTTCCAGAAGTCCATTTTGGTGTGAATGTGTTGGTGATACTGACTCAGGAAATCCTATTAGAAGTCGACGATCTGAAATTAAGTCAGCATGTAAGTATTAAGTATCAAATTGCAGTTTCTAAAGCATCTTTCTCGGCTGAGCTAGCTTAAGGCCTGCACGCTTTTGAAATGGATGAAGGCCGTGCTTACATTCTGGAACATAGAGCATGTTCAACAGAAGAGTCATCGTGCAATTTATAGATATGTTTCTATTTTTGAACAGTTTTAAAGAAGGAATTTAAGACAGTCCCTAAGAGTAAATCAGCACCTATTGGTAGTAAAGTAGAATTCTCTTGTGAAGGTCCAGCTGGCCAACCCTTCCCTATGGTAAGATCTCATTTTATTCCACGAAGGTCTTCCAGAAGCCTTTTTACAATTTTCGCTTTTTAATTATTTCTTGCAGATTTTGGCAATGTTAAATTCTTTTGATCGACATAATCGTAAATAAGTATAGAAAAAAAAGCTAAAAACTTTCACAATTCAAACAAACTCATCAACTGTGGCACAAATTTGAGTATTTCGCATATTTTGAAAAAGTAAACCAACCACGTTGATAATAAGTTTACGCCTCAGAAACGACTCTAGTTACATTCACGTGGAGGACATACATGGATCTGTTCACCTGAATGTATGCGCTGAGAAAAATCTAATGTCCAATAATTGGCGTGTTTTTCTTACAATTCATAATATGGCAATCTTATTTGGTTTTGAATCCCCTTTTTCAGATCTCATGGCATAAGAATGGAAAAAAAGTTAACACACAAAAAGACAAAAACTTCATCGTAAACGATCGTGGTATGTTGATTATTAGAAGACTAAGACAAAAAGATTTAGGAGAGTATACTTGTATTGCCAGAAACATTGCAGCCAAAAGAGTTAGCAGTCCAGCAACTTTGACCATTGGAGGTAGGTTTATACCGTAAACGCAGTAGCTTATCCTAGTTAATATAGCTTTATGGTCGATGTTGTAACAAATATAAAGAGTATAATAATTATCAAAATACGTCCATCAAAAGACGCATACAGATACTGATATCTTCTTGCGCACGTCAAATGTTAAATACTGGTTTGCCATGAGTATACTGAGGTTCCTTAGTGAGTTTCATGATGGGATAACATAATCACACAAATGAAAAGTGTACTATAACCATTGTTGCAAATAGTCAAAATGCAATAAACGTCCGATTAACGGATCGCCACTGAGTGCCGAGGCCCCTAATGTACACTTGCATGGTTATATGGTGCACATTCGTTGCAATTCTTCTTATTCTGTAAGTCGTCTAACAAGTGTTATCAATGTCATCATCATGATATCGTGCAGAATATTGTGCGTATGAATGATCTTGAGAAAGTAAAATGTTGAAACATTGTGTTCAAGAAAACAATAGTATATCATGTACTACGCTATGTAATCTGTTTTCTATATATCTTTTAATAATTGTTGTTGATGATCATGCATGATTTCTGTTGTGTATTTCTATAGATGTTGTTGAAACAGTGAATGACTTTGGGCTATATTCCGTGTCCTCTTTCTTGTCAGATGCTTCTGTTGAAGATAGATTAGAAGCCTCTGATGCTCCTTTAGAAGATGGTCCAGTCTTTGAAAAGTATCCCGAATCTTTATATTACGCTACCAAGAAGAAACCCGCAGAATTGACTTGTAGAGTCGTTGGTGCCAACATTTTGACAGTCAGGTATGTTGATTTATTTTGGTGGTCACTACTACTTGAACGAGATCATGAGTTCTATCAGGAAAAGCTATCTGACACTGATTGGTTGATGTTATGGAACTTAAGAACCATCGGTAAGAACCCAAAGATTCAGTTGAAATTGTATGGGTACTTTGCAGTGTGAGTGTAATCACATTTCTTGAATTTGCAAAGTTCTGTCAATCAGTGTTGTGATATTGAGCATGAGGTCACAAAAACAGAAAAGATAATACCCACAAGGTGTTGACATGGGAACTAGGACGGGGCCAGGGAATATTTAAGGAATCGATAGCGACTGTAGCTTTATACAACGATGATCCATTCGTCAAATTCATGTAATTTGATTGTCCCTGATTTAAGATGTAACAGTCGAAGATTATTGGACACAGAACAAACGAAGCAAGAGATGCCCTCAGCTCAGGGTAAGATAATGGAAACAACATGGCCTGTGACGACTGATGATATTAGAAGATATGGTATTGATGGCAGTTATTCCTGTTATTGTGTAGCCTGGTACGCTCTACCCGGTGCTTCTGGATGGTTAAACAGAACCTCATCTGTCGGATATATCGAGCTTGCCTGTAAGTGAAATATATTCCGTGAAGACTCTTACTGTATATATTTGAATGTTCATTTTTAGCAGTTTGGCCTGTGCTAGTTGAGTTTCTATATCAATTATGCGGATAATAAAGATACTGATCCCATTATAGAGTATATTTGCTACGTATCGATGACCATACGAGGTGAAAACTACTAGTATTCATCGATGTTTTATATTACAGTTTTAGACGATAATTTCGCTGCCCAGCCACAGAGTCAAACTGTTGGAATCGATAGTTCTGTAACATTTTCATGTTCTGCTCCTAGATCTAAACCACCAGCAGAGGTAGGTAAATTTACCTAAAGATGTATGGAACCTTTGGACCTTATCCTGTTATAGACAACGAACAATCATTTGCTTTGTACAGTACTTCAATAGCAACGTAATAGACAAAAAAATGTCGTCTGACAAAATAGGAACCCTGCAAGATGTAATTGATTGCAAATACTTACAAAAACTTGGATAACCGTAAGCTACCCTTCAGCCTAAACTAAACGTACCAGTGAGGTGATTCTGGCCTTCAATGATCATTGGGGACCCGTAGTGGTTCAGTTTCCTATATGACATTCGAAACTCTCTCAATTCCTTTAAAAACAAAACTTTAAATATTGACAATGAACTGATATTTACAGATTCGTTGGTTTTTCAATGGTCAACCATTAGATATGAACAGTGGTATATATGTGTTTGATGAAACTAGCGGCAGTTTAACTTTAGAATCTGTAACATTAAGAGATAATGGTGAATACCAATGTGCAGCTTCCAATGTAGCTGGTGTCAAATACAGTGATATAGCCACTCTCACTGTGCAAGGTATGGTAGTTTGGTTAACTTGAGTGGACCAAAGAGACGATTTCGGGCTACAGTTTGAAATTTATGTCATAGTCTGATATAAAGCTTTTGAAATCGGATTTCTATGCGTTGTTTCTTGTCGACTATTCGCATCCCTTTATTTTTCACACATCCAAACTAGACCACGGGTAGTCAAAAGTAACGTAGTGAATTCTAAGATCTGAAAATAACTGCCATTGATCGATTTCAGACCTCTTACAATCGTGTATACATGATAAAGTCACATTAGGTTGACACAACATTTTGAGCATTTTGTTGTGTTCTTTGCAGATGGATTTGTAAGAAAAGTTGAACCAACGCAAGCAACTGGAAGAAGACAGACCATTCCCGTAGCAACAGTAGCACCAACTACACCAGCCAGAGCTCCAGGAGAGGCTTATTTCAGTACACCATTAGAAGACGTCTATTACATGACTCAAGATAAACCTGCAAAAATTACTTGTGGTGTTAAGAATGCTGACATGATCACATTTAGATGTAATCGTAGACGTTATGAACAGGATGAAATTACCAAAGATCAGGTCTATAATCAAGAATCCAATAAATACGATATCACTTCATTTATTCAGGTAATGAGGTTTATTATTTTATGGCTTTTTTTCTGTGACATTTTAGGGTGATTTTTTCTGTGTGAAGAAATGAGCTCAGTGATCTTGGAATTGTCCGGGACAATCGAGTTTATTGCATATTGTTTACCAGTGCAAAGGTTTAGAATATGAATTGAATGTCAATGATTGTATGTATTGTTGCTGGCTAGACTAGCTTGTTATACTCGGACCTCATAGACTTCTGATGCCACTATGCAACTTAATTGGTAAACTCGGCATTCATGATAGCTTATAAATGCCGATGTATGATAATTATTAAATTGTTGTGCAGGTTACAGCTCAAGATGTAGCTAAAGCTAATGGTGAATATAGCTGTATTTGTACTATGTGGTACACTGTGGGTGGTAACTGGGAAAGAACAGAAAGTGTAGAAGCCAAGGTTGAAGAGGCCTGTAAGCATAAATTTCCAATTTAAAATTTTATTAGAATTTTATTGCGAAACATATTAAACTGGTTAACTAATTATTCCTTTCTTAATACATTTAAATCTCCAGCATTTTAGACTCGATGTCTCGATCTATAGATTTGACACGTCAGATGTAAAGCAAATGATTCAAGTACAATTGATGCAGAATGTATATGGCTTTTGGACTATTGATTTTATATGTTTGTGGATGTTAGTTTATCTACCAATGGTAATCCTTTTATGTATCAATAATAATCACATATTTAATATCATTCTCAGTCCTAGAAGAAGAATTTGCAATGGAACCAGTTGATTCAGAAGTACGAGTTGGTGTTGCTGCCGAACTCGTCTGTTCCCCACCCTTTGGAGGACCTGAACCAGAGGTATGCGCATATACATATATTAGTCATGTTTGGTTAATAAAGCTGTCGATCTTTGGCTTTCTTTTACATCTTATGATGATCAGAACCATTCATATCTACCTTTCATACCTTCGTCAGTTGAGTTGTGGCGACTTTTGTAATTGATTTATGGACAAGAATGCTATTTAATTGTAATAACTTTAATAATTGTCCAAGGAACAGTACTGTGTAAGGTATAGATCGGAGCTTACGATATTCGTTGAGGAGCCTTTGCATCTTTTGTATTTAACCACTACCTAATTCAACATGTAATACTGGGAATAAAGCAAAATATGATAGATTTTCTCAAGCAGTTAAGATGTTTACTCATAGTTTTGCCAGATTTTACTATTTTTGCACTTTGGTGCGTTATGATTTCATGTGTTTCTCTCACGTAAATGGCAAATATTTGGTAGGTCTCCTGGTTAAGAGATAATGAACGAGTTGATACTACAAGAGACGGTAATGTAGAAATCACAGTGGATGGTAGTTTATCTATTCTATCAATGAGGAAGAAATACGAGGGAAGCTACACCTGTGTTGCTAGTAATGCTGCCGGTGTTCTGTACAGTCGACCTGCGAGATTGACAGCTCTTGGTAAGTAGAAAAATTGTAAACAGAAGTATAAACTACAGAAAGAGGCCCTTGCAGACACCATTAATAGATGCATCATTACGCAGACAGCCGACCCCTAACAACCCTTTGCTAACCCTTTTAATGGTTATTAACACTAAGATGGATACCCTTGTCGGGACCCTTTCAACCATCCAATCCTCCTTAACTTTCTATTTGCGAAAAATATGCATCTTGGTGACCACCTCCAGTATTATATATCAGACATAATAAACAATAAAATGATATGGTTTGCAAAGTCACATTTTATCCCAGTGCACACTACTGGGTGTTGCCAACCTCGTTACAAAAATAGTGCACACTGCATAGTAAACCTAACATCTTTACTTGCAGCAAGAACTGAAACAGTCACTGATGCCATCACAGAATCCATCTTAGTCGATGTCAGTTCTACAGCCGAACCTCTCGACTATACACCATACTCCGAGCCGGAAATCTCCAGCGAACCAGGTCGAGGTACTGCTCATGGATCTTCACCAATGTTCTTAGAAGAACCTAAAACAACCTACTACGTTGTAAAGGGACAGTTTATAACCATTACTTGCCAAGCCAAGAATGTTATAAGAATCGCCTTTAGATGTAGTGGTATGACGGTACCTAACTACCGATATGACAACAACCAGGTCTCCTCCAGCGATATGATGAGTGTGTCCTTAGAATTGAGTCGTGAAGACGTTGAAGGTTTTACTGATGATAATTCCTGTGTCTGTGATGCCTTTTATTACAATCAAGATACCCAAGAAGAGGATAAAATCACCAGTAGTCCAGGTTTCATCAACATGGCCTGTAAGTATGTCGCAGTTCATCTGAGAGCATTCGTTGGTCATCCTTGGGATTTGGAAGAAAAGTTTTATTAATTGACTGCATGAGAATATTAAGCAGCTAATAACGGACCACTTACAGAATAGATTTATTCAATAAAAGAATAAAGAATTAACCTTATCATTATCGCTAACAAACAAAACAAGAACCAGTGTTTATCATTAGAGAATAAGTCCTTGAGTTATTGATTTTTCAGATATTAAGAAACGATTCCAGAAAAATCCAGTAGATTTAAGTACAATGGAAGGAATGATGGCTGCACTACCTTGCACTCCACCAGAGGCTTTACCTAGACCAACTGTAAGACATTTAGCGTATTGCTAATACTTAAATATCTTGAAGTTCTCATTCACAGTAGGAGGAAGACAGTAGGTTCAGAAACAGGGGATTAAATCAAACATATAATCAAACTGGTGAATCCGAGAAAGAATACTGAAGGATCATTGAAGGCATGTTGTGTAAAGTTGTAAAATAGTTTTTTAAAATACTAAGGGTTCACCGCAAAATTCAAGAGGCCTACTTGTTATAAGCTTTCTTTGCGCTTACGTCATATATTATTCTTTTTATGGTGGAGGTACATAAAGGTTCTTTAAAAGTGGTCTGCATCATCGATTGTCTTTTAGGTTCATTGGTTATTCAACGGTAAAAGATTAGATTCCAAATTAGGCACCAATATTGTACAGCCTGATGACAATTCCTTGGTATTTGTCAATCCTACACAAGATTTAGCTGGTGACTACACCTGTGTTGCTGAAAACGTCGCTGGTAAAAGAACTAGTAATACTGCTCGATTGACAGTGGAAGTTCCCAGAGGAGGTGGAGGTATGTATAGGTTGAGGTGTAACTTTAATTAATAAACCACAAAATAATCACACTTGAATCAAAATTCTGTTGGTCTTCATGTAAACTAACTTAATATTTACTATAATATGGAGCGGATTAGAAGGCCAAAGACCGGAGTCCTCGTCCTTATTTCAGGTAGTCGCATGTACACGAAAATGATAATGGTTACTGTTTTTAATCATTGCCCAATTGCAGTTTCCGTTTCATTAGCCAATAACACGCAGAAAAGTAAGACAAAATCACTCCCTCTCTCATAGATTTCTTTAGTCTGAGATCTATATTTGACTTCAAAGCGGCGAATTTGTCGTTTCATCGGACATAAGTTAGATGATTATTTTGTGGGTTATTTTGAGTTTCAAACTGAAATATTGCATGAATTAACCAAGTATATTTTTGTTATCAAAATATGTTGATCTGATACAAAAAAAACAAACATTGTAGAATAATCGAACTCTATTTTTTGCTGTGTTTTTTCTTTCAAAATATTATAGCGATAGGCTCTAAGATCATTTATTTATTGCACGATATTGCGTATATGAATATCTCTCTCTCTCTCTCAAAAGCGCAATAACGCAATTAAAATATCAATGCGAGCTAGGGCGATAAAACAAATCGTAGTTTCGTCGTATTAAAGAAATGTCCTTATTTAATGAACACATAGAATTTTCATATTTTTGAAATATTTTTTATATCTGAATTCCCCTTAGAGACTGATTTGAATAATTTTTAATCCGCATTTTGTATCATGTTTTTTTATTGATTCAATTTTGTTGATGAAGTATGGAGATGGATTGTGTCAATCAAAAGATAAAATGGACACAGTATTATAAGGTCGATGACTGTTTGAAAACAAATTCGTTTTAGGTATATAATCGAGCTTCAGTTGTAAGATTAGATGATACACCACTGAGTGATTGTACCACTTTGGGACTTAACTTAAAATAATCATGAAGTCAACATACATCAAGTAGTCGTTCTACAGGATATTTGTCCTCGGTCTCGGTCAACTTATTTTTTGTAGATTGAGCCCATCACCATGCTTCATCTTGTGTGGTTTACTTTTTTCCATGTTGCTGTAAGTAGATGGCATAAAGCACTGTACTTACAATTTGTTTATTTATTATCATTGCTTTATATTTTGAAAGAGTTGTCCTTGTTTCCATACAGTTTGTTATTTTTGATATACATCCTCGTTTCACCCCTTAACACTTTCTTTATATCTTAATTGTGGATCAAGGTGTAGTGTTTCCAGAAACAACGTCCGAACCAATCGGAGAACCAGAAATAGCAACGTCAGAGCCAGAACCCGAACCGGAAGGAGAAGTTGGTTATACCACACATGGAGATGACATGCATCACGGGCATGGTCAGCATGGCGGCCACGCTTACCCAAAAACAACTGAAGGTTATTTTGTAACGTCCATGAGAGGCAATGAAATTGATATTGGATCTCAGCCGACTTATTCTGAAGAATCAGGTACTACATCTCATGCCAGTCGAAGACATTTCATTTTTCTCTCAATAATTTTAAGCAAATTCTTTTCAACTTAAATTTCTTTTCTTTTTTATCTTTCAATGTGAAATTAGTATTAAATTTGTAAATTATTACGAAATTAATTTTTTTATCAAATTCGTCATTATTGTTATTGTCAATCATATTATTATCATTAACTTTAGTGTCAACCCCTTTAATAAAATATCACCCTTCCCTTTGTGAAACTCCGTGAAATCTAGTCTACTTTGTTGCTTTTGTCATGTATACAGATTGTAGAGCATTCCTTTGAACGTTATCCCTATGATAAGTATTCATTAAAATTTGAATAATAATTATCATATCAACTGTTGAATTTGAATTCCCGAATTACAATTTACATATTTGAAAAAACTATACATTTCGTGATAGTATCGCCCTAGTCTTTTAAAACTTTTTAAAGTTTTATTAATGCATAACTTTACTAACCTTTGAGATTCTAATGACGCTTGATGGAATATTTGACCATGGGTTACTGCCCTTGAAAAATTATTATGATTTGAATAGAAGATGTTGATTTGCTACTCAAACTTTATCTCATCGTATTCTATATTATTAAATGTCACATATACCAAAGGTCATTACACTTGCCGCCATTTTTGCTATTTATGAACACAATTTCTACAATCTGTGTACAAATGACAAGTGAGACGCCATGGCGCTGCTACTGCCGCTTTAAGTTCTGCTTACTGTATATTGTACTTGTGTATATTTTTTTTCTTATTTACACTTTTGTATTTATTTTTTTGAAATTTATATAAAATACACTTTATATAGCATGAAGCATATACTTATAATTATATTTTGATATTAATTCTGCATTTAGCATGTGCATGGATTAACTTTCATCCTAACGACATACGGGATCTAAATTAAGGATTCTCCAAACTACAAGTATATTGAATGGAATACTTAGGACATTTTTCTTGATTTTCTGTGAATTCTTGTCTACATATAAGCTACGTACTAGCTGGAACTTAGAATCTATTTTAACTGCACAAAAATGCTTCTGTTCACCCTTGTTATGACGTGAAACACAACTTGGAAATACACAAAATTCTTAAAACGTCTGTATTAAATCTGCTTTGCCTTGCGAAATACTAAATCAAAACATTAGAAAAAACTTGACATCTATCAAGTTTTCACAATATTCTTAACGATTCTTAAACACGTAGGTGCATAGACTTACTTAAATAACACGTTAACAACCAGAATGCCAATGACCTCGACCTTGACCTTTAGAATCACCATTCATTAACAAACTAACAAACTAAAACCATTCAAAAATATTTCTAAATTTATGAATAGGGATTAATTCTTCGTCAAATTTTCTAGAAAGTACTCCCGAGCCTAAAGAGGATTCTGATAAGTCAGTTGCTATGGTAACTGGGGAATCGGAGGTTATGACTGATTCCGTTTCCATGACAACGAAAGATATGATGGTCGATGGTGCTATGGGGGAGAAAGCTACTAAACCTCCTATGGGCTCTGAAACCACAAAAGAATCTCACATGACAACCAGTTCTGAGGAAATGGGGTCCATTGTCACTGTTTCATCTGGAATGAAACCTATGTCAAACGCTTCTAAAGACATGCAACCAATGGCGACCGATTCCTCAGTTATAAAATCCATGGCAACGGATTCTACGGCAAATCAACCATTGGCAACTGAAAATTCTGAAACTGATATGAGTAATGAAATCGATTCTATGAACCCCGAAGAAAAATCAACGAAAAAACCTAAAAGAATTAGACCCAAACCTACATGTAAGTCCAATAAATGAAACGAATGACGTTTAAAATAATAATAAAAAACCTGAGTTTTACGAACAAAATAAGCGAAATACAAAGCGGTTTAGGTCTAGAACTAGACAATTTCTTAGTGGCATGCTCAGTGCATATAGGGTTGCTTTTATAAACTAGATCTTGAATATAGTGGTTTATCATATATAAACATTGTATCAGTTTTATAAGGTTTCATTATATACAAATGTTATGACACAGGTTATATTATATTATACCAATATAAACTGCATGCTATGTCATTTGAAATGTAATGTCAAGTTCCTATGAAAATGTAGTATGTTGACATACTTTCAGCCAAGAAGTTTAAAAAATGTCAAGAAAAGATGTCAGTTTGTAATAGATATTTTACTGAACAAGTCAGACCTGCCGAAGAAAACCAGGACATGGAAGCAAAATGCCAGTAAGTTATTAATTCTAAGTCATATACGTTTCCTTTATACACAAGCACGAGAAAATGTGGACGTCAATTCGCCCGTCGGAATAATATTTTCGAATTTGTCTTCAATCCAATAGCATGTATAAGTCAATGTAACAGAAAAAAATCGGAATAAAAATAAACTAAGTTCGTAATAGCTTACCACTGTGAAGATGTTGCACAGGCCGATCATATTGCTTTTTGTTAAGAATAGTCGGTTTCAGTTTTATTCAACGCAGCCAAATATCTGCCATGGACGCTAAAAGCTAAAACGGTTCATGAAAGTTGTATATATCTGTATATTAACTAATATCTCATGTATATTTACAGAGCCGCAGCTGAATATTCTATGTGTGTAGATGAATTTGTTGATAAATGTAAAAATGAAATCAAAGCTAATGCTATTAATACTATTATATATACAAGAGATCGTCTTACTAGTAGCTGTAGAGGTTAGTACATATATAGTTAATGTAAGTTTAGTAATCTGTCATAGATGGGGCCCACCATAGCACGGCAAAAACTAGAGAACAGCAATGTGTCACAGTGGGTAACCCATCAAATCAAATTTCTCGTTAACATAGACGCTACACTAACTTTCCATTTGGTAATACATGTAGATGAAAAATAATGCCTTCGAGGTTGTTTAAAACCAATTCACCGTATGAGTTTTGGTCTGACATTAAGTCAACAAAGTGCATTTTCTAAATCCATTTCCCCACTTTCAATATTGAATGTCGAAGAAGTATGCATGCAAAAGTACATTGAAAACTATTAACTGATAGCTCGTGTGTAAAGCTACCAGTAGAGCACGTTAAAGATCCATCTACAGTTGAAGGTTAAAAGGGAAGGATTATGTCAATGTACTGAAAATTTATTTACGTCATTGTACATTGCATCGGGTTAAGGGTCTACTTAGCTCAGTAATTGCAAGAAATTAAAACATTTTATTTGCATTTCAGATGACGTTGGTGTAGTACATACAGATCTTGGTCCATATGAATCTTGTAATGAACTTCAGATGTGCACCAGGCATTTAACAGAGGGAGATTCTATTTTTGATAATGTTCACTCTGCATGCAAGTAAGTAGAACTGATATAAGATGATTTTGTAGACAAAAATAGCGATTTACCTATGAACCACTCGTGAAGTGACATAGAATGATTAAAAATATTTCAAGTTACTTAAACCTATATTTCCGTAGTTTCAGATTATATTATAGCATGGTAACTTGGAAGTTACAAGTGTGGTTTAATTATCAATATTGGCCCTACAATGTTTTTAAATATACCCAAATTCAAGCAACAAATCACTTTTCTGAGATACGATACATAAAAAAACATTTCTGAACTCAGTATTTTGGAATACTGGGACAGATATACAACTGCTGTATGCAGTATTTTTTTTTTATTTATTCAAGAATAACGATACTATATTTATAGTGTACAACTATAAAGGTGTTTTGAAAGACTTATTATTGCGTTGTATTTTATTTCAGTTCCTTAACATCTATGTTAATGTGTGGAGATAGTGCTTTAAGTAAATGTAGTATTGAAAATTCTGCTAATGGTGATACATCATTGTCTACTGTTGGTGAATGGTATTCTAAATATTGTAATAAAGGTAGGCCCAACCTTATAATCACACACTTAGTCTTCGCAATTTAAAATATCAAAAATATTATGCGGCAGTTAGTAATGTTTTCCGTAGTTAAAAGACATAAACTCGACTTTTTACTACCGAAAACATGAACAGTGAGTTAAATTGTATATATTTGTATGCTAAATTGTCTCAAATTTAATCGGACCATATCACAATAGAGTTATACACATACTGGTCATTTCTATTTTCTTTTTAAATCTGGGATTGTCCCTATAGATTGTGTACATTGAATATCTGTATGTATATGCTTCACGTGGTAAAATATATAGATATAAACTTACCAATACCCGAAGAACATCATCTGTGGCTAGAGATACACTAATAAGAGTCATAAACACTTTCCACTAATTGTCATTTCACTTCTAAACACTGAATTAAAATAGTTTTTGTATTTCCACATGTAAACAAGCAAGATGTATTCCATTAACGTGACGTAACATCCGATAAGAGCTATGCCTCGTTTTGAACGATAGCAGTTTGCACGTGCTTATCGTAACTGCTCAGTATGGGGTCATACGAAAATTGGCTCTGATTCACAATCATTCAGCAGTGGGCCAATTTAGATTAGTTATAGAATGCATCTGCATATTTATTGTGAAAATGTTTGTATTTATGGCCGTATGTTGTACAGTTCCGACAACCATGTACAAATTCAATCAAATACGAGATGATGTGATTTGCTGCAGAAATACCAATTCAGTCGGACCACACAAGCTCCCATCCTTTATCTTAACTTAATTTATTTTTATCGAAAAATATTAATGACCGATAATAAATTAATTGAAAATATAAAAAAATGTTTACTGTATTTATCATTTAAACTGTTTATTAACGCATGTACATAATATGCTTTAGTGTCTTTTTTCAGTATTCAAAACATGTAAGAATGTCTTCTATTTTTTCTAGTTATCATGGAAAGAACCTCATTTGTCACATGTGAAAGTCTCAGACCATGTAATACACCATTCAATGCCTCAACCTCAGTGAAAGATATGTATGATGTTAACAAATGGTGCCAGTAAGTACATATTTTAGAGACCTAAATTATTTCAAAATCGTAAGTGTTTTGACAAAATTGTGAAAGGAAACGAAACTATACGTTCAACAGCACCAATTTCGCTGCTTATATTTATCAGAAACCATAAGAGCAAAATTCTGCAGGTTTGAGCTCAATGGGAGAAAAGATTATCTTACAGCCTTACTTTTCAATCTTGTCAAAACAAAACAGTCAACTAGTTTGCAGAAAGATTTGGAATAACGATAAGTATACTAAACTATTGTGCCAAATTACCATGCAGAACTATGTTATAACAGTCATTTTGTTGTGATCAGAATGATAGAAGAAAAAAGAGATTTAAGTAACATTGTAAACTAAATTTAAACTGTAACTATTTCAGATACACACATTCAGTTATTATCTGTACTAACAATGCTCTAGATAACTGTGAATCGGAAGACAGAGAAGCAATAGAATCCGATTTAAGAATGTTACAAGCAGAAGCTTCTGATATCTGCCCTAGACGTAAGTTTCAATTAAAGGTTCGTAGATCAACGTAGAATGAAAAATGTTGACCATCATTCAAATGACTAAGAAAATGGGCCAAACTCTGATCTGTCTTGCAAGATTTTGCGACTCACAGGTAGCACAAACATAACATTCATTTGTTCTCCTTGCAGCAGGGGCATCAGAAGAAGTTATTGATATTGGTACAAGTAAAGGTAATGATGGTAGTGGTATGTATATTAGTTCATTTTAATCTTTTTGTATTTATTGAGATTCCAGACAGAATTTGCTCAATATTTGCCCTGAAAACAGTGCCTCTGTTGTAGCAAAACAATGAAGATGGGGACAATGCCTCTCCGAAAAATGGATTGCTCTCAGAAAAAATTCTGACGACCGACAAAATCCATTTATACAACTTAACACCATTGCCTCTCCGGATATATTACTTGCCAATCCGAACAATCAAGTCTTGCAACACAAATTTGGTATATTTATGCTCAAAATTGACACTTAGGAAAGGAAAGGACGTGGTATCTTCAATATTCGGACGTGGCATCTTCAATATTCATTTTGGATTTTATGTGGCTTTAATTTTTTTTCATTTCAGGAGCATCAACAGTATTTTCAACGTCTTCCATCTTCTTATCATGTGTTCATGTAGTTCTCGTGTTTGTTCTATCATTAAGGTAGAGGGGTGCTTAATTAGCTTGTTTAATGATTAGTATTTGGTTATTTTTGTGACTCCTTGCAGAACGTGATTGCTACTAGATTCAAAACGATCCAGACGACAAGCTCTTGTGTCCATTACGTCATCGTTTTTTGCTTGTTACATCATCATTAAATGCCATCTCTACTCTCTGGACTTAATGGTCACAAGAGGCTAACGGATAAGATAACGTGCTAATATGAATTTTGTGTTCCATATTCCTGTATTGCCAGACATTGATTTTATTTATTTAATGGGGTTATTTAAGTGCATAATAATAATAAAAGATACTCATAACTTAATATCATAATGGAAAGAAATGGTAGCAAAGGAAAACAGAATGATTGAACAGTGTAGGACAGACTGGATTAAAGGATGCCATGTTATTTGAACGACTACAAATTTAAACCACAGGAATTCTATTTTTATTGCCTTAACCACCTTAAGTCGCCGTTATTGCTTGCCATGTAGCGGCTCTGTTGTGCAAGAAAGCCACCGTGTGTACATACAAAGGTTTTAGATAATTTTGTTCGTGTTGTTCATAATTCTTTTTAATCACTGTGTTTGTACAGTTTTTTTTAACGTCCATAATTTTTTTCCTTGTGGTGTCTTGCGGTTAATCTTCCGGAATTTCTGCATTGTTACACAATTATGCCTTTTGATACCTTTTATATTGAACTCTTCTAGTCAAGTGGAGCTCTTGGGCCGTAATCATTTTTTGAGATCAGGAACAAAAAAGCAAACACGAACTGAGCTGTCTTCACCGAAGTCAAACTACAGAAAATATTCATTCAAACCTGGGCATAATAGTGCCACATAGTCGTTCATTCACTGTAAAAGCAATAGAACGTTTAACGTCATTCAGCCTTGAGCAACCTTTCAATTACGTCTTTTTAAACCCTACCTCAAGAGCTCCCACATAAGAAAATTCGTCATTTTTGTACCTTAAAATTATAATTAAAAAACTACTTATATAAATAATATATTTCCTTTTTTTGTAAATATTCTTTGATATTTGACGTAGTTGGTAGAGAATATTTGTTATCATTGAAATTATAAATAATAACATAATGCATGATTTAATATAATAATTATAAATAACTTATATAAGTTTGATATTCATTTTGTAAAGAAATATCTTTGAAATATAATTTTGATAATGGGCGTACGAGGACTACTTAAATCCATCAAATCAAGAATTTAAAACAAAATGACAAAAAACCTTTGCAATTATTGAAAATTTAAACCTTTCGTTTTGGTGTTTATGGAAATAAATTCAGTCTAGGCAATAAACAAATTCAGTTTAGAACAAATTCAGTCTAGGCAATAATCAAATTCAGTCTAGACAATTAACAAATTCAGTCTAGGCAATATATTATTCAGTCTAGGCAATAACCAAATTCAGTCTAGGCAATTAATTCAGTTTAAGCAATAAACAAATCCAGTCTAAGCAATGAACAAATTCAGTCTAGGCAAAAAATTCAGTTTAAGCAATGAACAAATTCAGTCTAGGCAAATAATTCAGTTTAAGCAATGAACAAATTCAGTCTAGGCAAAAAATTCAGCCAATTCAACTCGTATGCCTATAGAGATTTCTTATGTTTGTTTGTTGGTACAGCTTAATTTTGACTTTAGAACACTGTAGATTTGATAAAAGTAATGCTTTAGTTGATAACATCGGAAACAATTTTTTATGACGAAGGTAAATATACATTATAGAAATATCAGGCATGTATCAGGCACAGCTCCATGTTCTTTGAATAGCCAATCATGTGAAAGAGATGCCTCTATGTGAATGCCTTTCAATGTTAATGCCTTTCATGTGAGTATGGAGCTTAACAGTTACCCAATCGTTCCAAAGCAACTTGTTATGCAAATCTATTATGTGCCTTATTCAATATTCATGAAACTTGCCTTTTGTAAATTCTAATAAATTTTCTTTTAAATATGGATACTTTAAAGAAAGCAATACTGCAACACTAAATATCACACTGTAGCTTGTCTGAAATGAAATGAAACCAAGCCAAAAATTAAGTGTAATTTTTAGCTTTCAGGGAAACATTGGCTGAAACTATCTTTTTGTCCCCAGGAATATGGCAGGGAACCAGACGAGGCAGTATACTCAAATTTCAGAATTCCAGGATGGTTATGGATCAGACTTATTTCAATTGCTACTTGGAACAATTGGGGTAATTAGGTCACTGTTAATAACATAATTTCATTGTTAATTGTTATTAGCCTGATATTCTATAAAAGTCTTTACATTCTGATTAGAGATTGACACTGATAGATCATGTCTTCTTCAACTGCTGAATTATTTGGTATGATTTCAATGTCTTCAGTGTAGTTGTGTTTTTCTAATAAAGCGATTTGTGTTAACTATTTCTGGAGCTCATTTCAGAAAAAAATCAACAGCTGTAGTAATGAATACCTCTTATAGCTCTATAGCTGTCTAGGGTGNTGTAAGAGAATTAGATTAGAAATTTGGAAAACATTTATTCAAAGACACCAAAATGATCAAATTCATAACATTTATAATGTCATATCGCATTGACACATTTACAATGCCAACATAACATTTATATGTCATATCGCATTGACACATTTACAATGCAAACATAACATTTATAATGTCATATTGCATTGACACATTTACAATGCCAACATAACATTTATAACGTCATATCACATTAATAATGTAAACATAATGTCATATCACATTAACAATGTCAACATAACATTTACAATGTCATATCACATTGTCATATTGCATTGCATTAAAATGTCAACATTATATTTATAATGCCATATCACATTAACAATGTCAACAAAACATTTATAATGTCATATCACATTAACAATGTCAACAAAAGATTTACAATGTCATATTGCATTTACAATGTCAACAAAAGATTTACAATGTCATATTGCATTTACAATGTCAACATTACATTTATAATAACATAAAAATTAAAATGTATATTACATTACACTACTAAATAAAATATAAACCTGTACCATATAATGTCAATATATTATATTTGTCAGTATATATAAATTACAGAGTAATTAATATAACATATTGCCTGTACATAAGATATCTTTGGCAGTACAGTAACAATCACCAGTAGAAATATTAAACCTCCAGTTATAGACTTTTTTTGAACTTGTTTGGGTGATACTAAAAAATTGAAACACGTTTTCAAGAATAAGAGCAATAACTCATATTAAATATTTTTTGATTATTTGGATTTTCAATAGGGTTTATCCTTGTGTGATAATAAAAAATTTCACCAAGTTTCTTGATGATTCGTCGAGAATTGTGCTTTCTAGAGTCTTTGCGAGATAAAATATGAACACGTTTTCATGAAAAAAGGCAATAACTCATATCGACCAATCTCAACAAATTTCATCTTATACGTCAAGAATTATGTCTTCTATAGTGTTTAAGAGCTAAAAATTGAATGTATTTTCAAGAACAAGTCATATTTAACATTTTTCTGAATTTCAACAGGGTTCATTTTTTGTTGAATACAAACACTCACACCAAGTTTCGTCAAAATCTGTCAATAACTGTGCCTTATAGTGTTTATGAGCTATTGTGAGCCGACGGGCAAACAAACTGGCAGGAGCAACGGCAATATACCCACATTTCAATATCGTGTATAAAAATGATTATAATGTCAATAACTAACATTTATAATGCTATATACAACATGTATAATACCATAGGCAACAATAAGAAGATATTAGGCCTTCATATATAATAGCTAAGATAATGGTCATAATTGCTTAAAAAAAAAAAACAACGAACATTGAACAAAAATACTTCTTTTTGAATCTGATTGCAATATTTAGTAACAAAGTCTCAAACTTTGGCCTTTTGACCTTTGTTTCTAAATATTGCAATTCATATCAAAAACATAAGGGGCATTGGAAATGAATATATTAGATGCAATAAAAGTAAAAACAAAATTGTTATATATACTCTCTTGGTATTATTGGGTTGAAAGTTTGTCTGAATTGAATAAAGAAAAGAAAAGAATAGAACAGAAAAGAACAGAAAAGAACAAAACACTGCTTTTCTCAGTGGCACTAACAAATTTCCATCAAAATCAAAATTGTAATTTATTCAAACTTTCACGAACAAAATAATTCAAAAACACTCTGTAGCTATCAGTAGAATCCTATTCTAGTAGCTACATAATCACGATTTGATTAATCATAGCCTTGAGCAATTGATCATCAAGGGCCATAACCAAACAACATTTTGCTGAAAAATCATGAAAATCGAACTTATCCAAGTATCATTAATATACAACTATGCCAAGTTTGATCAAAATCCAATCAAAACTGCAATCACTATCGTATTCACAAAACAATTATGATGTATTCTTGCCAAATCAAGGGCAACAATGCAAAAACTGTTATGAAAATCAAACTCATTCCAAACCTCATTAATCTACATGAGAACACCAACTTTAATGCATTCACCATCAATGGACTTACCGACAGACGGACAGACAGAAAAAATAGAAATTACAGAATTTACAGCAATGTTTTTAAAAGTAGAAAAGAAAGCATAAAATTCAATACTCATTAACAAGAAAACATTTCTTCTTCCATTGGTTTAGACACCCAAATACTGAACCCATTCTCTTTCAGTCTTTTTAACATCACATTCTTAGCAGCTTGAAAATCAGTAGCCATTTTTTTGGCGTCTAAATAGGTCTTGGCTGACAATAAGTCAGAGAGACCAAATTTAGTACAAACCGAACGAAAACTAGTATACAATTCTTTCTTACACAGTCTTGAGAAAAATGTTCTTTCAACTCTGAAAAAGACAATTATTCAACTGATGTACGAAATGACTAAGAAACTAACTGACTGGGACTAAGAGAAAATCCCATCTTTCACTGAACTCACATAGTTGGTCTCTGTTATTACTGCGAATTCATCTTTGTGTCATACTCGCAAATGACCCATTATGTAAAATAAGGTGAACATACCCAGTATAACAACGACCTGTAGTACCATCAATAACCTCTGGTCTATCATCTCCAAAACACCAGTTGATACTTAACGCTTTAGTCTTCTGGGTTTCACGTTGAGGTTCGCAGGCCGTCATTCTTCCTAACCAAGGATGATTTAACTGAAAACCTGATGGTAGTAGACTGTTGAAATCTGGTTCTCCTTTCCCAACACGACAACAAACAGCTCTAGCTAGATGACCATGATCATATAAATAGCCTAGAATGAAATTAAATAAAGTTTATGTTCTGCTTTGAGATCATAAAGACAAGGAAGGTCATACGCAATAAAAGAAAAAAATTTTGCCAGGAAAGTATGATCATTCATATTTTCAAAATGCAAATTATGTGGCACATTATGGGGCTGAATTCATGCATTCTATCAATTTCGATAGACACATTTTCTATTTTAATCCTTTCATAACAAGAATGGCCTTATTACTGGTTTAGTAGTAGAGGGTAGCACACTTGCATTGGGAAACAGTTTTCTGGAGCAAAAATCTTATCTTATTGCAAGATTTTATTTAGGGAAAATAGGTCATTTCATAATTATATTGAATGACTAAATGAATTAATAACATACCTAATGTAAGAGAGTTCAAATAAACAGGTTCTATAAGATGTGAGAGTAATGCCCCTTGCATACCAACGACATTCCAACGACAGATTTTATCAGTACAAGACATGGTACGTAGACGTTCTCCACGAACAATACCATCCCATGTTTGTACTGTGAAATCTGATTCTATTGGAATAGTGCCTTCACCTAAAACATAAAATATTAATACTATATATATCTGTTAAAGGGATTGTTAAGTGGTTTTCTAATTTTTTTTGTGTATAAGGGACGCTGTTAGCATCAATTTGCATCATTCCTAAACTAAATGTTTGATGACATCACTAAGGGCAAAATATGCAAGGACTTCGTGATTAGTGAAGTCATAAAACGTTAAGTTTTAAAGGAAATGCAGGTACCACAGACATCTGATTGAAAATTAAAATGAATCAAATTGATGCCATCAGTGTCCCTGATACACATACAAAATTTATAAAACCTTTTACAATCCCTTTAAGTCGATTTATTTATGTGAATTCCACAAAATTGGAAATGGAATAAAATAAATGAAGTTTTTCTGGACCTAACTGGGCTTATAAAGACAGGCAATGCCAAGGAGAGTGCATTTCCAGGACAGTGGCATGAATCTACTCATTATCGATTCCCACATGTTGAGGATCTTTTACATGCACAGGCAATATGAGATAAGGCTTCTGTTTATTGTCCAATGTGAAGGACTAGATGCTTATTTCCATGTCAGCCCCTCCATCATTGACTTTAAAAAAATTGTTAAAAAATCTGGAAGAATTATCTTGACCTATGACTTGATTGAACTCAGGTGAACTGAACCACTGCGAGCCCTTAATTACAAGTGGACGACAATCATACTCGACCACCACACTCTGAGCCAACTGACAGCTGAGGTATACTACTATACTGACAACTTAAGGATGACAATGTTTCTGTGGAAACAGTTCTTGTTTAACTGGCAATACCCACCATAGAACTTTCTAAGTAATAATGATCAATAAAGATAGTGGACCACAGCCATATACGCCCACCACGGCATGCAGATGGTAAATATTCAAGATTTTGGGGGAAGGGCAATAACTCTGCTTCTAACGGTCGAAAATAGCTCAAATTCGAACTTGATCTTCGTTTTATGAATATGTATACACATACTGAATTTCATTTGATTCCATCAAAAAATCTAGTTTTTAGAGCGTTTATAAGAAAATGTCGACGGACGGACGAATGGACCGACCGACGGACGGACAGGGGTGCCGACAATATACGTCAACATAGAGAGATGTGGGCGTATAAAAACAATAACTATACCTCCTTCCATCTTAGTTCTGAGAACACCCTGTACATTACTGGTAAATGTTGGATTATGTTGATGATTTTCTATATCTTCTACTGGTCCTTTGTTAGAAGCTGCATCTCTATCAATATAAAGTACTTCATGTTTAAATTTGTGTAGGGGACAAGAGTTGTGTTGACTGACTGTTAAAAATGGGTCAGAAATATTTCACTTGAATGGGGACATATTTGAAAATACCATATGACCATCAGATACAAGCCCAACTTTTAAATCTTATCAAATTACATTATCTATTTGCACAAAGATAATTATTATTATTACAGTTTCTTGATGTCATGGAAACATTGGTAAAGGTTTGATTGATAAACTAGACAAAAAATTTTGGCCCTATTACATGAATATTATTCAGTAGCTGCCTCTACCTTTCTTGGTTAGAATTTTTTCATATTTCCCTAATTTCAAATATGTTCAAATTTACATCTAATATGCTTTGTAAATTTTAAGTGCCAGAGTAAGCCAAATCATTGTTTTAATCCTTAATCCCTTTCGGGGTAAACATCACTTTTAAAGTGACAGGTAGGCCATACTTTGGACTCAGAAACAGGAATTTTTTAGCTAAGCCAATCAGTTATAGTTTTCACAGCTCACCATCTTCAAATCCACGCGTGTACAGAATTATCTGCGATTGATTGTTAAAATGACAACTCGTCAATTTAAGATAAATACATATATAGAAATAGTAAAATTCCTAGTTTGAAGTATTTTTTTTTTACTTCTGAAGACTATTTACATATCATCAAGATTAAAATTAACCCCCCAAAATGACGCAACTTTCCCTTTTACAAAAGAACATAATTTTATAGTATCACACAACTGGTAAAAGTCACATAGAAATGAAAAAAAAAATGATGATATTGTAAATTGTTTCAATGAAACTCAGATCAAAAACACAAGACAATATTATGGAATAAGCACACTTTTTAAAGTGAAACTCCGTCTTAGAATGAACATAAATTTTAATTCTCAAGAATGTTCAATAAGAGAATATATTCATCAGTAATATGACGTGGTGTCATAAAGTTACAACAGAATCCCTGTAAAATCTGGAAAATTGGAAAATTCATAAAAAAAAAAGCGTTTTTTAATAGTTAATTGCATTTTTATTAAGTTTTTTGGATTTATCAGATTATATAAGGATCCTGTTATGTTATTTATGACACCAGGTATCTCTACTGATGAATATATAATCTTATTGGCCATGTTTAACATTTTTAAATTTATGTTTATTCTAAGACGAAGTATCCCTTTAATTAACTAACTAAACACATAATGTTCAACACAATTTGTGTTAAATGTTAATTAGTATTGCTTTGTGTTTGTAATTTGTATTTCACATTTTTAAATGTTGTTTAAGTCTTAAATGTACTATAAAATAGCACAGCATTACATTCTATATTATTCTGGTTTGCACAAACAGTCTGAAACGTATGACAAACGTCAATTTTCAAGGCAGACGTCAAATAAAAGAATACACTAGTACCTAAAGCACTTACCTTGGTGAGAAGAGTGCACCATCACCACAAGGTGCAGTAGATATATATAGGTGAAAAGTGAAATTTGATTTGATTCTAAGTTTGCCTGATGGTCCTTCTTCAAAGAATTCATGAGGCTGGTCTGTAGTGTATGTTTCTAGTTGTTTATACAAGAACCTAAAATACAAAATATCTCAACTCAATAACAATATATTATTAATAATTAAAACATATGTAATGGACAATAACTTAAAGGGACAGATTTGACTCTTTTCCTTCTAAACTTACCTTATAAAACCTCTTCTAGTTATAATTTCAGCATGAGAATCATTAACAGTATTTCCTTCTAAACTTACCTTATAAAACCTCTTCTAGTTATAATTTCAGCATGAGAATCATTAACAGTATTTCCTTCTAAACTTACCTTATAAAACCTCTTCTAGTTATAATTTCAGCATGAGAATCATTAACAGTATTTCCTTCTAAACTTACCTTATAAAACCTCTTCTAGTTATAATTTCAGCATGAGAATCATTTACAGTATTTCCTTCTAAACTTACCTTATAAAACCTCTTCTAGTAATAATTTCAGCATGAGAATCATTAACAGTATTTCCTTCTAAACTTACCTTATAAAACCTCTTCTAGTTATAATTTCAGCATGAGAATCATTTACAGTATTTCCTTCTAAACTTACCTTATAAAACCTCTTCTAGTAATAATTTCAGCATGAGAATCATTTACAGTATTTCCTTCTAAACTTACCTTATAAAACCTCTTCTAGTAATAATTTCAGCATGAGAATCATTAACAGTATTTCCTTCTAAACTTACCTTATAAAACCTCTTCTAGTAATAATTTCAGCATGAGAATCATTAACAGTATTTCCTTCTAAACTTACCTTATAAAACCTCTTCTAGTTATAATTTCAGCATAAGAATCATTAACAGTATTTCCTTCTAAACTTACCTTATAAAACCTCTTCTAGTTATAATTTCAGCATAAGAATCATTAACAGTATTTCCTTCTAAACTTACCTTATAAAACCTCTTCTAGTTATAATTTCAGCATGAGAATCATTAACAGTATTTCCTTCTAAACTTACCTTATAAAACCTCTTCTAGTTATAATTTCAGCATGAGAATCATTAACAGTATTTCCTTCTAAACTTACCTTATAAAACCTCTTCTAGTTATAATTTCAGCATGAGAATCATTAACAGTATTTCCTTCTAAACTTACCTTATAAAACCTCTTCTAGTTATAATTTCAGCATGAGAATCATTAACAGTATTTCCTTCTAAACTTACCTTATAAAACCTCTTCTAGTTATAATTTCAGCATGAGAATCATTAACAGTATTTCCTTCTAAACTTACCTTATAAAACCTCTTCTAGTTATAATTTCAGCATGAGAATCATTAACAGTATTTCCTTCTAAACTTACCTTATAAAACCTCTTCTAGTTATAATTTCAGCATGAGAATCATTAACAGTATTTCCTTCTAAACTTACCTTATAAAACCTCTTCTAGTTATAATTTCAGCATGAGAATCATTAACAGTATTTCCTTCTAAACTTACCTTATAAAACCTCTTCTAGTTATAATTTCAGCATGAGAATCATTTACAGTATTTCCTTCTAAACTTAACTCTTCTCCAGTTATACATCTGTTTCCTAAAAATAAAATGGTGGAAAATGGTGGAAATTAAATTTTAATCAAACACACTTCCCTTTTTAGTAAAACACACTTCTCTCCAACATAATTTTGTTATCGGCTTTAATTCAAAAAAAGACAGGCTAAGGCTCAGTTTTTCATAGCTCATATCTTAATTCACTTTAATATTTTGAAAAGTATTATGAAGCAAAAAAGACCTGACATTAAGTGATATTTGATTAATCTGAAGCTGTGAAAATGTGACGCACAATAAATACTACGTATGGTTTATACATGGAAATGACTTGCACACAAGAACCTAGTTCACAGCCATTTTGAATTTCTACTTCGACTTTTAAGTCAAACTTTAAGTCAAGGCTATAATATTTCAACAAAGCCTTCAAATCACAATTATATCCATTACTAATCCTTTCAATATGAATTGAAGGCTTGGTTGAAATATAAAAACTTTGACTAAGTGGAGGAAGAGATGTGTGTGTTATTTCTATGTAAGAACAATACATAGTTTATTATGAATAAGAACCATCATCAAAACATGTATATGTGATGATGACATCATAATCTTGTCAAGTTTTTCTTCATTAACAAGATTCAAAATCTAAATGGTGCAAATAGAACTTTTAAGTGTGCCTGGTCAGAAAAAATTTCTTGAATTCTGTTAAAGCTGAGGATTTTTTGGTATAAATGAACAATATATGCACTAACCTGAACCTACACTAATAACTGTACCAGTATCAGTTGAACTTCTTTTTAATATCAATGCTGCTATAACCTTTCTACCAGCAAATTTCTCTGGTATTGAAGCTATCAACTGATTAAATGCCTGATGACTTAAAGCTGCCATTTTATCAAAATGCGTCATTGGAGTAGTTGCTGATGATGATGAAACCTGAGAAGCAGACCAGTTTCAAAAAACTTATCACCTAATGAATGACATAGCATCTTTGCCCAAATTTTACTTAATATCATTTTTTAGAAGAAATATTTTAAAATCTTTAATAAACATTATGTAACAAAGTGTCCATTTTAGAATTCTAAATAGGAAACCACCTTCAATAGCCACGTTTAAATAGCCATAAAAATTGGCTCGCTTGAAGTGAACCCTACTCGGTTCGGACTCGGCCTGGCTGGCTGGCACCGTTTACACTGCACTGTTTTCGCTGAGTCAGAAAGGCGAGTCATCAAGTAGAAACCTGCTCTCCAGTCAGTGGAGACAAACAAAAACGCGGACATAAAAAATGCTGCCACAAAGAAGGCGATGATTTTGAAGTCGTGATTAATTTTGTCACGTTCACAGCATAAACGATTCTTGAAAATCTCTGAGTTGTTTTTGATTTTATTTTTTCATGAATAACACAGCGCAAGCCATTGCTATCACGATTGACTCGGTCCAGATAATTTGTGACTCAATTTGACCCCTCAAAAATGCATGATATCTCTTTGCAACTACTATTGAATATGACTCATTTGCTCGTGTCACAGCAAACTAACATTTCTTGCATCATAATATAAATTCAAGTCACAGTATAGCATTATGCATTATGCACAGTGCAATTTATATGGGTGAATCTGCTCTGTCAAGCTTGCAACATTTACCATACTATTTTTTGCATAGGTTGTTTGGTAGATGACAGGTTAACTTTTGTTTGCAGCGGATGTTGATATAGCAAACTAGGCATTTAATAGTAGTCATAGTAATTTAATTGGTCAAATTAGATGATTCTGTGCTGTAAGTTTGGTAGTTGATAATGCAGTGTACAAATTCAACCAGGCTTTCATACTTACATTGCTAGTTTTGCCAGGTTCTGAATTAATCTTGTATTGGCCTTCTGATAATAAAATACGTAATGCCAGGTCTGCTGCTTCGGTTCTTCCATCTTTTTTACTTCTAGATTTAACACCAGGAAATATACGGTTACCAATCATAGCCGCTATGATAAATCTGTTGAAAATAAGGGACAAATAAAACATGCAACCTCATATCCAGTATCTTATTGTTATTTTGAAAGCTATAGGCAAGCATAGAGCCAAAAAAATGTTCAAATTTCTTGAGAGTTTTCTCTTTTCTTACAATTTGGAAATTGAAAACAATTGATGTTAGACTGTAAAGTAAAACATTTTCAATTCCTAAACACTAGGCATGGTTGGTTGGTTGGTAGATGACAAGTTAATGTTCACTTCCAGCTGATGCTGATATGGCATGGTGACCATGGAAGACAAATATTGGCTTGTGTTAATGCCAGAAAAAATATAGTTTAAAGATGGGTTTCCCTTATTTTCATTCATGAAAATGAAAATGCTAATACGTATTCATAATTAGCTAAATTAGAAGAGAATAGCCAACAGAATTCAAACCGACCGATCAAAAAAGTCTTTTAATGTTTTGGACATATATGATTCGTTAAAACTCTTAATTATATAAGCTTACAATAAGAACATAATGATATGATTAACGGTACATGATAATTCATAAGAAACACCAAATAATGAAATAGTTTGCTTAATTTGACACTAAAAAATAAGGAAATCAATCTTTAAATGGTATGTAAAAAAATACAGCAAAGAAAAATTCAAAATGTCACCTTTTTAAAGAACCTCACCACTTTCTGCTTAAACTTGCAATTCAGAACATGAAAGCCTATTTTTCATGAAAAGGAAATGGAAATTTTACTAAGTCAATTGCTCCTCGTTAAATTGACCAAGGTCTGATTAATAAATGCAGGCATATACAAATAATGGTAATTTCAATACTTACGTAGGTTTATGAGAAGGACCACGTTGGCTTACTACTTCAATTTTAGCCTGTTGATGACGAGATTGAGCATACTCCATGAGAGCACTAATAGGATTCTTATTCACTGCTGAAAAACTCTCTGTGCTAATCATTAAATTGTCATTAAGGTTACTGGATAGTAGAGATGAACAAGCTGATGACTGGAGTGAAGCTGGCTGGGGTGGTACCATTGGGGAAGATGATGTTGACAATGAAGAGGAATAGAGTGGTACCATTGGGGAAGTTGATTGATTATGGAGTACTGAAGATGATGAATGAGTGGTTATGAATGATGAACTATTTAGCTGTCCAGAAATAGGAGATGGTGCAACATGTAAATTTGATGATGACAAACGATTAGGCGTGACTGAAGAGTTAGAACTCAATTGATTCGTTTGATCAATTCTTCCATGAAAACTTTCATTTTCCCTTCTAGCTAGTTCAGCAGGTGTAGGTGGCATTTTAAATGATTTCACTTCAGGACTTGGTATTTGGACTCCCCTTCCTCCAGTAAAAATTTCGTTATCAGGCATTCTATTGTCACTTGAACTAACACTGAGAGACCCACCAGTAATAGGTTTGGTTCCTTCAGATTGACCATGAGACATAAAGTAAGAGATTGACTGATTGTTAGACTTTAAACTTTGGTTCGAATTCAAATAAGAAGTGTCCATATTCATTAAAGGTGGTATTGAAGAAACATCAGATTCAGTGGGAAATATCTGGATGTTCTTTTCCTTCTCTGGCTGATAAGAGGCAGCTGGTACAGGTGCTTTTTTAACTCCAGCACTGAAAACTGTGTTGGAAGTAATAAGTTTGAGAGGAGACTGAGGAGGACTCGTTCTCTTTTGGTTTAATATTCGACCACGTCCGATACCAACACTGCTTTCGCTTTTAGTCCACATTCCTTTTAGTGTTAAATAAGTTTCCCCTTGCTTTGTCAAACACCATACACTGTCTGTCTGTCCAACTAATTTTTCTGATTTCAGTAGATCTAAAACTTCTTCCAAATTATCCAATACACCATTCAAATTTTTTTTCAAAATAAACAGAGCACCAGTTTGAAATGGCAGTTCTGTCAAGGCCAGTAGAACTTTATCTTTGATATCATTTTCTGAAGTGTCTTCTCCACTAAGTTGAGATTTGTCTTCCAGTTTCATCGTTTCTTCATCAGTTTCAAAATCCTCTGAATTGGAATCAGTTGTCATAAACATTGTATTGATCTCCCATCCTTCATCTTGCTTCATCTTCATATCGAAATCATCATCATCATAATCATCATCATAATCATCCTCATCAGAAAATTGACCATCTTGAATTTCTGAAAGAAGAAAAAAGAGAATTGGATTATTACAGGAACCTTGACACTGGCTTTCTGGTGAACACTTCAAAATAACCTGGTATCTAATAACCTAGGACCTAGTACCGATGCAATTTTATCTTTTGGTGTGGGCACACAAACAGTCTTGGTCGCTGATTTTTGTCGCCTACTCAAATCTTGAGTAAAATCTCATGTGTTCGCTCGCTACCAAGATTATTGCTTTGCCAACAGGATTTATAATATCAAATTACTTTGATAAGTGAGAATAGGGACAGGTGCGCCATTTTTTTGACCAATCAAACCATAGTCTCAGAAATAAGGATATTTAGGTAAGCCAATCAGTATTCAAAATTTGAGCATTTACAGACACTGTCAAATAAAGATAAGACATCTGTAGGAAAATTTCTAGTTTTTACATATATTCAACACTCAAATCAACCGTTAAAATGGTGAATCCTTTGAATTTATGAGCTGGGAAAGCAAATATTTCAAAGGAATTTTATTTTCCTGTGAAATACATCGAAATTTGATTACATCTTACCATCAATGTCCATTTGTGGATTAAAACCCAAGGAAGAAGCACCTTCACCACTACCAACATCTTCAGATTTAAAGTCAATTACTGCTGGATCATCATTTATCACTGACATCCCCACTGATTCACTTTCAACTGATTTCACAACATTTGGTGCATATTTATTATTAGGCAATTTAACCACTTTTTTTTCTTCTAATAATTTTCCCAGGAAATTGTGAACATCGTCAATAGTAGCATAACTTCCCATATCAGAAGCAATTTCCTCAACTGAAGCTGGATTTTGGTTATGCAACAAAAAGCGAAAGATTTCTTCTGCTTTGTCTGCAGTGGGAGATGGGGTAAACATCATTTTATTCTTTCTGATTTCCTGAAAAAAAAAAAATAATAAAAATAAAAATAAACTTGAATTTGTTCCGTGGATTTTTGCGTTAGTGGTGTAAGTAAAATGGTTTAGAGATTTTCGATTGTAGCTGGCATAAAATAATCACAAACTTATTTTTGGCTTAATAAGTTAGACATATATGAGTGTTTTCTGCAATTCTTTTCACTTAAAGGGATGACTTTAGGTCAGCCCCGTCATCAGGAATGAATTGGTGCTGGGGTTAAGGTTTTGTACTCCAAAAATTCAAAGAATTAAAGACTCAGAGAACTCATTTCTGACAATTTTGTGTTGCCAAAATCTAAATCTTTTGTACCAAGACACTGTAAATTATCAATCTCTGCTGATGGGTCTTAATTCTCACTTGCTGGAGCCAAGCCCACACGGACGCCACCCTAATGACAGGGCTGCTTCAGGTCAAAAATGTCTCTAATAGTAATTTTTACCAAAAATACGGTAAAGTGAAAATTATTATCATTATTATTACTAGCGGTACCAACCCTAAAATCCACATATATGAACAACCTAGTATAGATACCAAGAAAATCAGATTAATTCACAAAAACTATTGGATTAATATATTACAAACAATGCACCCCTTTGGAATGAATATAAGCTTACAAGTAGACTTTCAAATTATACCATTTGTTATTTAATACAGCAGCACAGCTGGGCAAGTTCCCAAATAATTATTCGCCTATACAAAGAATTACAAAAAAAATGTCCTACTGTTTTTAAGAAAGATTTAGTGATCGCCTATTCACACAATAAAAATCTTAATGATATCTTAGTACGTGGTAGATTACCCCTCCTTCCTGATATTACATTTCCCTATTTGCCATTCATGATATCTTATCAATCCATTAATTTTTCCTCATCATTATTTTCCCCCAAAATTTGATAACCATTATCAGCTCGAGTAAGGTTTGTAAATTATGATCTTTGTATTTAATTGTGCATGAAATATGCATTTAAATTCTCTTTACTTAAAGGGGAACAGTTGACATTTTCGTTAATGATTTGGGTCTTGAATGTGCTTTAATAGTCTAAGGAAGTACTAAAATCGCATAATCCCTTCAAATATACCTCAAACTAGAAATTTCACTGTCTATTCCTATTTTGGCATAGTCTCAATAAAATTCGAGTCAAATTTTTAACTTTCAAACGTGAATAATTATTGATACCATGGATATGAAGGCTGAAATTTCGATGATGAGCTGTGAACACTATTACTGATTATGTAAGCTAAACAAATTTCTGTTCTTTGACTAAGGTATGATTAGTCGAACAGATAGTGCAGGTGCTCCTTATTCATCAGTTTTAGCAGAAAAAAAATATTCATTACAATTTCCATAGATATACTTATGTTCCTGTTGGAACCATTATTCTTCTTATAATTTCAGATTCTGAAGAATATGGATTTTCATTTAATATATTCATATTATATTATATTATTCAAACTAACTGCACAAACAATATTCTCTCACTTCAGGTTTAGCCTGAATGCCTGTGCCTCTTGCTTTCGTAACACTTAACTGCAATGTTACAACCTAATATTCCTAAATTTCAATAAACATCTTCTTAGTAAGGAGTACTTACACTGCCATCTGTCCAGTTTCCTTCTCTTCTTTGAATTCCTCGACCACCCCTTCCCCTACCACGGTTGTGTGTCCTCCAACCCCTTCCTCTGCCTCTTCCTCTGGCACGGCCTCTTCCATCATTTCTTGAGACTGGCCTTTCTTGCCAAGGCATGATAGAGGATTCAGCTACCTTTCCTTTAGAACTATCATCTAATCCCTTTCGATTAGTCCCACCACCACTACTTTCGATTTCACTGAACTTGGAATGTTTAGGACTAGGCCTATTCAATTTCCAAACCGGAGGATTTTGCTTGTGCACTTTAATAACTTTCCCTTGTGTTTTCAGTTTGTACAAATGTTGGTTGATTTCTCGTTTGTTCAGTTTTACGTGCTGAATAATTTGACTTAGAGTAGAAACTCCATTTTTAGTTTTCAGATATTCGATTATGTTTTTATCAACATTTGTAGCCATTTTCCTGTCATGTGACCAGAATTTCCATAAATATTTATAAATAGTTTTTCTATAAGTCTAGATTATCCAGCGGCTTTTATTTAACAAAAAACTCGGCCATCTCTTCCCATGTTAAAACACGAAATTCAACCTTCTACGACTTTTTCCAGAAATCTCGTTGAAAGCTTTCCAATATGTCGAATGAAAGTCTGACCAATCCTCAATGTCTTCTAAAAAATTCAATATATGATGACCATGAAAATTTTGAGCTACTAAAAGTGAAAGTAGACTACTACCGGTTATACTCATCCGCTAGAGTTTGACACTTCACAAAACGACTATTTTTAGAATTAACCTTCCGCCTTTAGGTCTCTCGTCATCTCACCAAATCTTAAAGATAATGCAATTTCAGACATCAAATTCCAAATCTAGACCAAAAATTACCCAAAAATAGGCATGCAAAAACCCCAAAAGGGAGAGAGAAAGAAGATTTCTAAAAATAGCCTGGACTACATTCGTATGTACAATCATTTGCATAAAATGTTTTAGTGGAGAGAGTCTATCTTGTCTGTGGTTCCTGCAATTCCACTAAAACTAAGTGTTTTAGAACGCGAAATTTGCTTGTATCATATAAGACCTTTGCGGGCATGACGTCATAAAACACTTAGTTTTAGTAGACCACAGACATCTGATTGAAAAATGAAATGGCGCAAATCGATGCTATCATTGTCCCCGATACACTTAAAAAAATTTAGAAAACCTTTTACAATCCCTAATTTAATGTGTTTGACTCCGTTTAGGACTATTGACGCTTTTTATAAAAAGTAGCTTACTATTAGGCCCTACTCAGAACTGTGGCAAAAGCGAAACAGTCATAATAATAATATTATTTATCAATTTAAGAAATGAGGCCAAACGTGTTCTTGCAATTCGCCCAACATAGAACCAATCCATTAATTATATTTTTTTGGTCGACATAAATTTGAATACAATTGCCGCTTAAAAAAGGATTATTTATCTCAACAATTTTAATCCCAGTCATTCAGAGATTTAATGAACTGTTTGGGTTCAAATAGCTATTGAGGCATATCTTCAAAGAATTTTTAATGAATACAAATATATATACATGGATAATGTAAGACGATCTTAATCAAATATATCAATGCTCAAAATCAACGTTTCAAATTACCTGATATACAAAAAAACCCCAAAATATTCAAAGGACACGGATACAAAATAACAAATCGACACTCAAAACGAAATAAGAGTTAGTCTTCTGAAGTGAACTGCAAAAATTCACAATGTACAAAGCTTCAAGTCACACGCATCTACCAGGACAGAACAATACTAAGTTGCTTATTTTCCATAAACTTCCACGTAAATTTGAGAGTTTATCTATTCCCGATTTCTTGGTGAGTTTATATTTATATTATGTTGTTACTAAATATAGACAAACAGTACTTTGCTAGTATGTGTATTTTGGTAAGATGTGTAATGGAATTTTCCCCCGGACCTGTTAATTTTGTAATTTTTGAATAAAAAGGGGGACGACATGATTTTTCGATAAAAGAGTTTCCTTGTAATTAGACTACTAAAGCATAGCTTGTTTTGCTAATCTGAATCAATGTCTTTATAAAAAGATTTTTTTGGGTTAAAAAGTACATAACGACCAATCTGATTGTAACTGACTTCGACAATTCAAAGTAAAATATTATTTGCAGACTAACACAATCTTAAAGTTCTTTAAACGTACCATGAATATCACCTTCATGTAGTCGGGCATTCAAAAAGAACACTTTGTAACATATCCAACGAGCTCATGTTTAATGGAACGGACAACTTAATAAATATTAGGTTTTATGGGTTTTTTTTTTGTTGGATACGAGTGAACAGTGTGTTACACTTGCCAGTTCTGAATTTGTCAATGGAGATCGATGATCACTATAATCAGTGCCAAGCTCAGTTGTATCCAATAAGATTAAGTACGTCCTAAAACTGGTTATGAGGATCTATTCACATTGAATGGCTAATCTTTGATATTAACTTGAAATTTACATTCTTCTATGAATCATAAACCCCTTCTCTCATCCCCCGGGGTATCATCAGTATTAATGAAAGATCCTCTAGACTATAAGACACTCGGTGACGAAGATTCGAACCCCCATCACTGTAAAACGATATTTACACGATCTTGTAGATATTGATCGCAAAGAATTCAGTTATATAGGTCTACCTTCCATTGATCAACGTCCAACATGTTCATGTATGTTCACAGTCACGCGCGATAGCACATGCATGAATATCATCCTACAGCAGTACTGATGAACGATGTTCATGAACAAACCTATAGGAGACCATTTTTGATGCATTCGAGCATGCACAAAGCGCAGAGTCCTAATCTCTTCTAATTAACGGATTATTGTTTTGAATCTTAATCCTTTAATGCGTAGCCTAAACCTTAAATTACGCATAATCTGTAACCATGTTAAATAAAAAAAAAAGTCGAATATCAATACAGTATATAATAAGATTATATCATATTACTTAAACACAATCCACTTCATTACAAACCCATGATTACAGATTAACTGTTTAAAACATATTGGAAACGTAATCTGAGGACCTTGATAATAAAATGTCAAACATTATATCTTACAAGTCATTGGACCAAATCCTTTATTAATTTAACAAGCGTTCTTTCAATATCAAATCGTTTGCTATCTCACGTAAGGACATACATCTGACGTCAAAACGTAACAACGAAACTATACATTCAGAAATTTTCAACGATTAGATAGAGGATTCACTGGCGGTACGAACATTAGCAAATATGTAATATAACATCTCCGTTGAATTGGAACCGAACTACGAGCGCGACAGTTCACTTTAATGTGTGTATGACGTACGTGTTGGAAATATTGTTTGGATGGATTGTGTTAAAGGATATTAAAGATTGATTCATATGAGATGAGAAGGTAGACGAGACAGCGTTTGTTGTTTCTGATTTTAGTGATTTTATGTTGGAACAATCAGTATCTTCGGACACATTTTTTGATAGAGGTTTGCCAGTACTTTAACATTACCAGTGCCTTTATTGTATCTAACTTTGATATGATTTGAGATGGTTCTGCTCTGCTACGGGCAATAGTTAGTAGTGTAAAACATCACAATGCCGGTAGTTATGAAGAATTTACAGTCTTCCCGAGCCCAATGTCGCTCAGCCCAGTCAAATATGATATGTTTCGACGACGATGATGAATATTTAATGGGAGACGATGTAATTAAAAGAGTGATAACTCACAAGCAGAGGAAATTAGCATGGCGAAGGCAGAACGGTTTGGAGGATTCGTCCAATGGAAGTCACAACCAGTCTGAAGAACAATTTGATATTGAAAAAGGTTATGAGACTGATCACGAAGACTCTGACGAAGAAAAACAGGAAATTATTGTTGAGGAATCAAAGGATCACGTCATTAAATGGGTGGAGAACACAGTCGGACGTCTTAATTCTAAGGATAGTTCACATGAAGATGACCATGGAAGACCACTTTCCAAAAGATGTCTGTCAGCAACTGGAAGCAGAGTGACTTTTAACAACATAAGTTCCGAATCATTGTCAAAGCATTTTAATGGATTGAAGAAAAGATGCAGCTCGGCGTATTCCAGAAGAAGTACAATCGTGGACGTGAACCAACTGACAGCTCGCTTAGCTCCTCGAACCAGATCATCTCTGGATGTAACTGAAGAGAGATTCTTTAGCGGGCATACAGAAGATGCTAAGGCGGTACCTGGCAGAAAACGATCTTGTCAATCAGCAAGGACACACAGGGAGGCAACTCGGGTAAGGTTAAATAATATTTCAAGATATTTTGTCCAACACAATCTTTAATTATTTAAATAGTCCTTATTGATCTAATGATTAGCAGGGAACCACCATTGATCAAGTGTAGTAATATGCCAATGATTTTGTATTTTGTTGATCAAAGTAGCTCAAAATATTTCGAAAGTTCGAAAAATATTTGCTCGATATATTTATCACTTGTCTCACTACATGTAGTCCCCAAAACGTTGAAGTTTGAATTCTTGAACTTGAATGCGCCTATATGGAAAATACATTTTGCTATTATACATATACCCTTGTCACATCTGTGTGATCTCGGACCGTTTTGTTCTAAAGTTGAGGGTTTTTTTGAGTATGTGCCCATTATAAATATTTAAATCATTAATGTTTCAATAATAATTGTGCCTGAACAACGATACTAAAATATATAAGTTATTATTATCATCATGACTATCAAAAAAAAAAACAAAAAACAAAAAAACAAAAGCAAACTTAATACAGTACAATACTGACTAACTGTTGAAACTGACACCTTTCTGTTTAAATCATATTTTGTAAGTGGTCTAGTTTGATAACAACACATATTGATACAAAAAATAGTGCAGTCAAAGGGGATATTTGTGTAGTGTAATTCATTACTTGAAGTTTCCTTGTTTTGAACCTATATCGTCCTAACTTTCCCGTTGTTATCGAGTTAACTTGACCCAAAAAATAATTCAAATTGCCCAACCCAAAACTCATCAATATTAAAACAGTTAATCCCGGGCCAAAATCTATCTGAATTAAGTATTTTATTCAGTCTAATTTGTGGCGTGCTTGTATTCAACATTGTCTTTGGAGTGTTACTATCTTCATCTCATGTCCCTGTCGCGTCCATGTTTTCCGATCTTCTCAACTCACGATTTTGTGCGAATCTTCTTCAATTCACGCCTTCATGCCGACCTTTCTCAACTCACGCCTTTGTGTCCACCTTCTTCTCAAATCACGTCTTTGTTGTCGACCCTCTTCTCAACTCAGTCATTGTGTCGACTTTCTTCTCAACTCACGCCATTGTGTCGGCCTTCTTCTCAACTCACGCCATTGTGTCGACTTTCTTCTCAACTCACGCCATTGTGTCGACCTTCTTCTCAACTCACACCATTGTGTCGACTTTCTTCTCAACTCACGCCATTGTGTCGACCTTCTTCTCAAATCACGCCATTGTGTCGACCTTCTTCTCAACTCACACCATTGTGTCGACTTTCTTCTCAACTCACGCCATTGTGTCGACCTTCTTCTCAAATCACGTCTTTGTGTCGACCTTCCTCTCAACTCACGTCATTGTGTCGACTTTCTTCTCAACTCACACCGTTGTATCGACCTTCTTCTCAACTCAAGTCTTTGTGTCGACCTTCTTCTCAACTCACGTCTTTGTGTCAATCTTCTTCTCCATTCGCGGAGCACGTTTATTAGGCACGTTTCGGGGCATTAATCTTCTTCTCGAATTGGAGTTCGACTTTCTATTGTCTGTTTTCAACCGACCACGTTTGTGATTTTAGCTCAGTTTTGGAATAATAAATAATCGCAGATTTCGTTGGCCTCCGTTTATTTGTCATATTGAGTTTCTTGGAACTGCAGTTTTTAACCATGCCAATCTAAATACACTGACAGAATCCATACTTTCTATATCTAATACATATTCGAATGATATTACAATCGTAATGAATGAATATTTCTTTTTTTTCTTTAAATATATCATGATTGTTTGACATGAATAGCCCACGAAACAATTTACTGAACAAATGAATAGTTTTGTATTCAATATGATAAGAGTAAAATAAAACACCAAAAGTGTATTCAAATAATGATAAGACACTTGGTTACCTATTATGATAAGTATGCAGACCTGAGACGTATAATGGCATACGACTTGTGTTAAGTTTCGCGCTATTGTAAAGACCATTCGATCGCTTTGTCCAACAATACACCACCGGATATAGTATTCTATTGAAAGTATTGTCGAACACATCTCATCAATCGAACTGTCAACCTTTGGATAGCAACCACACGCTTCTGTTAATGGCCAGAGTGGACTTTCTTGTTTCCTAATGGACAGATTCAGTGCTTCAGTTCTGAAAGAATTCTATGAATGCTTCTGAATTACAATAGATCATTGGCAAATCTATTGGAATTTCTTGATTTAATTACTGTGGTGTTTGATTCAAATAATCACTAACTCTGGCAAATACCATTGTGTTACTGCATATTTCCTTTTGGAACCAACGTGATGAATGATTATTAGAGGGAATTTAGATCATAATAGGAAATATCACAGTGTTCTGTCAAAATGGATGGATATCCTGATTTTCTAAGAGTCAAGCCTAAAACAAGAGTTTCTGCTTATGTTCCCATACATGAGGTGTCGATGAGCATGCCTAATGGGTTTTTAAGGGTAAGTACATAACAGAACATAATGTGATTATTGTTTATTGGTCTCTTTTCAAGATGCCAAATTCATTGGAATGAGTTGTAGAGCTTAATGGAAGCCTATATTTACAATTGTTTTGAGCAAAAGGGTCCAAAATAACCGGAAGTGTTTATTTTAGACCAAGATCAATTGAGCGAATTGTATTGTCACCCAAATTCCTAATGGTCCAAGGTAAAGCTGCATACAATCACCAGTCGCACAAAACATCTTTGTAGTCTTAGCTTATTCATGAATAGATTTGACTGCTTGAGTTGCACCAAAGTATGTCACTTTCTTTAATAGGATTTCCGAAAAAAAGTTTATTCATTCTCCTCACTCTGTTTTTGCGTTTTTCTTTAAGCTCTCAACTTTTTGAGTTTTTCAAAGACCTCACTATATTAAGTTCTGTAGGCCTACATCAAACCATCTGAAATCAGTTTGTTGGTAATGGTCGTTATACGTGATTCACATTGAGTTAATTTGTACTTATCTATCAACACGTTTGAAAAGGAAGTGTCTCTACCATATAAATAATTAAATTGCTTTGATAACAAACTTAATCGAATTTAGATATTTATTTAACTAGTTTTCAATGGACAATAAAACTTGTGGATATCATATCGTATCAGAGTGTTAAGTCGAAGAAAATCTAATTGGGGTAATAAGCCACACGCTTGAAATTTTATGAAGTTTTTACGACCAATTATCAATTCAAAACTAGTTCAATGGCAGGTCTTCGAATCAATTTCTTTTATAGGAATGATCTTTTTTCCTTCCCCTTTTGATTGGTATAATGCTTCTGTAATCCTTAAGCGACCTTTAGGGGTAGAGTGTTCAGTTAATTAAATGATTCTGTAGGGCCATCAAACACTGCCCCTAGCTTATTTGCATATATAAAACCATTTATTCTGAGAAATGCATATTTGAGTACACCTTTGTAATAACATTTACAAAACTCTGGCAGTTACATGACATTTGCAGATCGACCATCACACCTGACTAACTAATTTTCACATAATTAATAGATTAATCTATTGCTCTGTGACCTAGGCCAGTGCTTTCATTGAGACTCGTCTCAATACACCAGATTCATTATATCATACGATGTACAGAAATGGTTCAAATAGAAGAACCCAACAACACTCTTATGGTTTCGATTTGCTTGGTCATTAAGAAGTGCTCGATTATTTCATTTGGATTTCCAACTGCTGGTTTTCTTTCCTTCATTGTACTGATTAATACTGGTTTTATATATTAAATAGCTATTAACTATTCCTGTTATTATAATATGTATAATCTACTTACTGATTATGATTGATGATCATCTAGAATTATTCTCTCTACTACCTTCTTTAGTCAGTAGCTATAAATAGAAAATTCCATATCGGTTCCAATACATGGTCTGGTACAGAATTGCTATACACAAATTCAAATTGTCTTTCGTGAGCTCAATTACGTATAGATTAGTAGGTTTAAGAACAGGAAGAAAGGAGAATGTTGCAATATTCTGATGTGAGTAAAAAAATACTGACCAATTTTAGTAAACCATGCGTTTATGTTTATGGTCATCCATCGTATTAATATGTTGAGGATAAAGCTTCTGAGTTGGTTTCTTAATGGTCTGGGTCTTTTTGTAAAGACCATCTACTTTGACAAAAAAACTCATTTTGCGATTGCATATGAAGTGATTGCAGTTTTTCCCACTTTTCTGCACCCGATTGGGCTAATGGACTGTGTGCAATGAGGAAAATTTGCCAGGGCATCGACATAAGCTTATTTCTTTATCTATATCACTTACAGGGGAAAACGGATTTCTTCTGAAAGAATATCGAGCACGTTGATCGCCCGAGCATTACGCACAGTTCACTGTACCAGAATATTGAAAGAAATCTTTTCAGATAATGTCATAATAATTTGCAGGTATTCATAACTGAATTTAACGTAACGAAATTCCCTAGTTGGCTTGTATAACTGTTTTCTAAAAAAAATATTATTGATTTATATAGGCGACATTTGATCTCGATTACAAGCAAAGATTCCTCTACAACTAAGATCTCTATAGCCTTTAGTAATTTAAATGATTAGAAACGATTTAAATGGTTTAGACACAAAGCTAATCTTTATAAATCAAGATTAACTTAAACCGGTTTAAAACTTATCAAAAAGCCAAATTCGTTTGCTTTACCTGCCATTTAAGTGAATTACCGGTTTTTCTCAATTCATTTAGCATAATTATAATTCTTATGATTGCAAAAAAAACTTCAGAGTAAAGATGATGACATGTATATAGTATATATATTTTCTGTGTTGATCAAACGTTTAAAAACGAGTTAGGTCCCTTCAATAAACTCCAATGTTATATTGTGGATTGAATAAGGAAAATAAAAGATCGGCCTCTCCTTAAGATAAGCTCTAAAATTTAATTTTTGATTGGGGACTTCTTACAACTGGTCAAAAAGTAACACCAGGAGGAACATTTTGCAACTGGTCAACATGTTATAGACGTATTGATGACATCAGAATTGGGATTTCTCGCAACTGGTCAACATGTTATAGATGTGTGGAAAACATCAGAATTGGGACTTTTTTCAACAAGCAATAGATGGTGGACTTCTTATGTAAGAACCACTGATGCAACTAGTCTTGTGTACACATCGCCGTTCTATGGAAAAAAGAATGTATTTTAAGTCAAAAATCGTTGGGAACTTTTAAATCTAGTAAATATATATTACTAGATAACTAATATCTCTCTATAAAACAATTGCTTGAAAGAAATATTTATGTTTGTTATAAGCAAAGTTAAGATCATTAATAGATTACTATAAGACGACACTACCTTACAAACACCTATTGTTGATGGTTTAAATACTCAATTTTATTGTCCATATACTATTACACATTTTTTGATATTCAATTGACCGTCACTAGGGACGCGGTGTATATACTACATGAATTTCAATAGCTTTAAGGGATATAGCCATCGAAAAAAGCAATAAATATAGCCTATATCTAATAGGGCCTACGTATATTCTGAAAGAGCATAAGCGCAAGAAATAAGCAACTGACAAAATATCACAGTTTCTATAGGTCCGAGAAAGTAAAAGAAATGCTTACAATATATATCCTTAGATAACTCCGTATTATCTATTTACATAATTAAACGTTTTATTGTATATGTACAATACCAATGCACTCTATTGCAACAAAGTTTCCCTTTGGTCGGTCCTTTCGGTGGAAACCTGACTTTGAGACATTACCACAAAAATGAATACCATTCGGTCAGATCCCCTTAATATGCACTGTGATATGGTTTTGAACAGCGGATTTATAATTTGGAGTGTCGTGTTGAAAATTAGAGAAATTCGATATAATGGAAGTTATTTCAAATTTATAACTTAACTTTGACTTTTGACCTAATAGTATATTTATAAATTTACATATTTAAATTTTAATTACATTTCTCTTTGAAGTCTGAAAAATTTGAAAATCTTAAGGATGTTATAGTGATACTATCTTAATATATGAAGGACGCTAACAATAGGTTTTTTCATCGAAGGTTATCAGTCGATTTTTTATTATAATATCTTTATGGATCCTCTTGAACAGCGTATCGAATTTACTATAATCCGTTGACATTAATGTTATAACACGGAGTCAAACATAAGGATACATAAAAATATTCATACAATTGCAGGAGGTCGTATATTGCAAATATATGGGAGGGATAGAAAATGATTATGCGTCGCCGAAATTTCGATCGTGGTGGCTAAAATATGGCGAAAAAGACAATATCGATGAAAGATTTCATGTTGCTCTGATCGGAAAGAGACTTGTGTGTCCTCTACTGGCGGAATAGAAAATTTACTGTCCCGTTCTGTGACTAGTACTTTGTTTTGGATGATCTACTCCAAGCAAAGAGATTAAATTAAGTTTGTGGCAAAACGGATGTGAAAATGGACGTGTCTTAATTCAAACAAGATCTTTAAAAATTACATTTTGAACCTATATACACAAAGGTATTAATGAAACTTCTTTTGTTCTAGATTAGTGACTTGTCCTCCAGAAGGGGATAATATATCCATGAGATAATTTAAATCGGTAGGTAGGCAAGTGGTTGCAAAAAGGAAAGTTTTGGCTTTAGTTAGAGGACTGTATTTGACAGTTTACTATTAGAATACCATTTATAAGGTTACTTTGATTTTACTCATTAGTATTAGGTTCTATAGGTTTTGAAACGCAATGAAACATGGATGACTGTATACTATTTAGTTTTACGTCTTCTTTTATGAAACTTATCGGGATGAAGGACACTGTAGGCAATGTTTCGACCTATCATTTCAAATAAGATTTGTGGCAAATTATAATAGATTCAATCAAATATGATGAATTGTCAAATTTAAGGAACAATAATAGAAGGTATAGGGGGTCCAACGTACATGGTCTGTAGCACAAAGAGTTTTTTCGACCCAGCCTATGGAGGACGTCCATTCGAGTTCAGAAGAATCAATAAAATAATTTCCAACTATGTGATAATAAGTAGCCACATTGTCAAACTTAAGGAACAATAAAAATAGTCATAGCTATAAATGGAATATATACCGAACAAATAACGATATTTGAAAGCCAACAAGTATATCTAAAGATCTCTATATAAACTTAAACAAACATACAGTAGTAGATATTAATAGGGTTATAGTGATAGGTAAATTAAAGGTAAATATAGAAAATAACTCGAACCTCCCTAACTGTTCAATATAAGAGAAGTATGCAAAATTCATATAATCAAAATCATTGTAAATTAAGCGAAAAAATCCTTCTGAAATATGTTTTATTGCTATTACTATTGCTATTTGATATTTGAATTTGCTTTAAAAGGAATGATTGACATTTATTTCGCTGAATTCTGTACAATGGTTTACGTAAACCTTTTAAATAGGTCTGGCGTCTACAAATCAACGACAAAATTTACCTGAACTTTCAAACAAGGCTAGGACTATTCTCATGGCTGCCGCTTTAAGATGTTGTCCACTTCGAACATTTTATGGCACAAATTGTGCATTATGAAGAAGCCTTCTCGACAAATCGATTGGTGTTGTAAAAATTTATTCGCTCACTCATTCGAATTATTTGGCAAATTGATTGGGAGATAAAAAAATTAATTCATTTATAGGACACTATATAAAAAACTTAATGTTGTGATTAGATTTCTTACATTCATTCATTTGTTTTTTTCAACCGTTCATTCATTCATACGACAAACTTTGTATAAGTATATATGTATATAGGAATTCGGCATACTAATCAGTGTGATCAAAATTCATGCAGTGGATTCTTTCTTGGCGCAATCCTCACAATGTATTTTTATTAAAAACTTTGTCTTATACCTTGAGCAATATCCAATATTCTTTATCACGAAATGCAACGATTTGATTGGATTGTACTCCAGCAAATACAGCCAATCAGAGATCTAGCCATAATGTTTACAGCCTGTTTGTCGAGGGCTATGGTTGTACTCGCTGGTGTACAATCAAATCAAACAGCTGCATTTACAAACTTCAAAGATACAAGAATAGTGGCAATTGCAGTCAAGGTATAAGACGAAGTTTACAATAGTTTGACATAGTAAAAATGACATGACACATATTTTTATGCAAAGGCAATTGCAACAACGCTAGCACGTATACCACACGTATTTTGCTATTAATTGAATTAAAAGCTTAAGCGATATAAAAGAGGTGGTATATAAACCACACTAAAAGTCAATCCCTGTTTAAAAAGAATATAGCCTATAAAGGTATGGATTAATTCAAAACGACAAGCTATACCTTGTTATCAGGTTTTTAAAACTAGAGGATTTATTTCTGTTCAATAGTATATTCTATAATACAAGTTAAAGTTGAATTATAAGTCTGTAGACTACCCACATACATAAAGTTGGATTTCCCACGGTTTGGAAAAACGGTCGGTTTAATGTTTAAAAAAAAGTATATAAAACGATTTATCTAATGTCTTTTTCAAAGCGATTGTTATAATGACTAGTCAAGGTATTAGACACTTTTTTTAGAACTAGGACATTTTAAAATCAACATGACATCATTTGATTTCTGGATTTTCAATGTTCTGAAGATTTAGTTACGTAAAGAGATGCGTTGAACCTCTATCAAGAATATTTGATGGCTTGTTCAAGACCATAAGTAAAGCTGTTTGTATTTTATCAAGTGTAGATAAAATAAATGTTAAATGGAGACTCAAATTAAATTTTCTTAAATATGGGAATCCAACTTTAAGTAGATTGATAGGACAGGTTAAGGTACTTGAACACTTCGAGCGATTGGAACGTTTCTTTATTTGAATTAGATCTTAATAACATTATTTATATATATGTGTGTCTGTACAGTAGGCAATTACTTTCCTGTCCAATTGTCTAATACGACACTACAAGTTAATTTATTTGAGTGAATATCTATTTGAATCATGATTTGGAGACGGATTGGTGACGAAAGGCAAAACTTGCGTGTTCGGGGAGTAATGCATTAAATTTTTAAAAACCTGCTTTCGATTTGTATACTGTATTGGCATTGATTAACTGTTGAACAATTAAATATTGAACCGGATACTTCACGACTGTGTTGTAGCAACATTTTTTATCGTTGTTCATTTGAAAGCATGCCTATCTGCATGAATACTTCGTGGTTTACGATTAAACCTTAGACAAACTATGAGTATGAAACGTTGATTAAGGATAATTTGGAAAAAGCGATTCTTTCAATATGCCAGCAATCACATCTGTTTTGCCATCGATTTCAATGCCGGACAATAATTCAGGATGGAATTTAAAAACTGTATCAAAGAGACCCAAATCTCGTAAAGTGCGTTTAAAAAGGATAATGGATGTTAAAGCCACCAATAAAAGAGTTATAAAACTGATTCAGGTAAAGCAAACCATTGTTTTAATTTATTTTGAAGAATGCAATTTTGTCAAAGTTTCCCTGCTTTAATTCGATGGGGAAGCCTCAAACATCTCAGGGCGTACTACGGAAGCCATCTTGACAACTTTGATAAAATAGCTTCTTTAGACTTACTTTTAAATTTTGATGGGATGGGATTTTGGTAATATACGAGTAACATAAAAGGTCATTTTTGAAAGCTAAAAATGTGTCAGTCCGTGCTTCATTTGCCTGGAGATTTCATGAAACCATTTAAAATCAATAATGAGTATAATTACCACCTTACTATTATTAATTATTTATACTATAGTACTGTTAATTACTTAATGTCTAGTCACTACTAAAATATTAACTGACAAACAAAAGTTTACTGTTTTAAATTCTTAATGTATTGGATATGAAAAAAAAAACTAAAATCTTAATTGGTCATATTCAATTTGAGCTTAGAAAAAAAACAAGCTCTAAGCCAGTACAGCGTTGGTGACATCACGATAACCAGCAATCAGAGTTACAAAATCACTGAAGAAACAGTCTATGGTCTCTTTGGAAGATATTCCGGTCGTTTAAAGGTATCAGAAAGATCAACATGCCGCTTAATCCTCTAGTACGATATCATTTATAATAGTTGTTAAGTTTGGAATAAGTAGAATGTCAAAGGATTCGAGAAATGCCGTTAGAAACAGTCCTGTCCAACCGACCTCGTGTTAAGTAATACACGGTCATTCAACCACCAAACCAAACCTCCAGATCCGACTACCAACTTCCAAAACTACCGACAACTACCTAGTCTACGATATAACTTTCTGCTGCAAGCGGACGTAATCTACCAACCAACCAACCAACCAACCTAACTTAGATTCAACCAAAAAAAAATACACGTGTATTAAATGTCAACCAGGAGCCTAGAAAATTAATGGAAAATATTCCCACAAAAGAAATGCATTGATTAATTGTAAAGTAGCGTGTTAGGGTTGACGTATTTATTATGCTTTTGTCAAACGTGCTATTGAATCTCTACATATGAAAGAAATTAATACTCTAAAAACAAGACGTAGATCGTAAAAATATAATCAATTCATCGGTGTTCATAATATGGTTGAATCGAGAGCAATAAATAAATAACTTGTACTGATTCCTACTCCTATTATTTATCGATTATAAGGTTTTATTGGAAACTGATAATTGATCTATGCTTTATTTTGGTTGTAACCGGGGTGGTGGCCTTCACCATTTCTAAAATTTACCGTTATATCTCTATATTTATATTGCATAATTTTATTTACATGTTCATCAAATCATATGTATTATCTCTTTCATGTTCAATTTTTCAACTCGTTTGCGTCTTATAAGTTTCGTCTCTCTATTAACAGTTTTATCTGTATATCTTATCACTTTATTTACAGTTTCCATACATTTATTTACAGTTACGTCTCTTTATTTACACTTGTATCACTTTTTTTACCGTCTCATCTCTTTATTTACAATTAAATCTCTTTATTTACAGTTCTATCACTTTATTTACAGTGTTATCTCGTTATTTACAGTGTTATCTCTAGTGTTATCTCTTTATTTACAGTGTTATCGCTTTATTTACAGTGTTATCACTTTATTTGCAGTTTTATGTTCTATTTACAGTTCCCAACTCTTAATTTATTTACAATTATATTTACAGCTAGCAGATGAAGGTAGGAAGAGAAGTAATGTTTTACCACCATTAGATACAGAGTCTAGTTTTTACAGAACACCACGGAAAGGTGGTTCACTGCACAACCTTAACGACGAGGTAAGCTATAGTGCATTTTTATGTGAACTTCCATCATAGGATGCACAGTGCCACGGATCTTACACAACAATAACTTGAGTCCATAGTCAAACATTACGCAAAGAATCTGTCCACCATACTATAGTACAGATAACACGCCAACATAAGAAATTTTCCCACCAGTAGACCATCTTTACTGACCTCTTAAATTACTCAAAATCTATACGATGGCTTCATTTCAGTTAGCTGATGGGGCTTTACAAAGAAAATATAAGAAAATTAGTATCGATTTAGACAGAAAAATCGTTAACCATCTAAGAGTAAGTTTTATAATAGTTATCATTTTATTTCAATTTGAAAAAAATAATCTTATCACAAACTTTCAAAATATTGAAGCTTAATTGAAATGATTTCTTCCCAGGTCCTGAAGCATGCAAGAGCTCTATACACTGATACAGGCGACACAAACTCCGGTGTTACGATAGATATTTATTTCCAGTATCCTTGTATATTATACTTCTTAATTTGCATGAATATCAAGTTCATAGGAGAGACGATTCGATTCCCTTAAGTAGGAAAAATCACAAACGCAATGCTGGCAATTTCATGCGACACGAGCGTCTCGAGCGTGTGTGGTATATCATACCATACATCGTATCGTAGCGCATTCACAACAGATACTATGTCTCTCCGCAAAGCCGGCTGGATCCTTGACTCTCACTCTCAGAAACTGTTCCACAACGGCAAATCCATTATATTTACAGCGTAAATTAAGTAGAAGAATAGAACAGAGATATAATGAAAGTGATGAAGAAAATCAAGATGCAGAATATTTTTTAAAACAAGCCCAATTAAAATCACAGAAAACTGGAAAGGTTGGATACTAGTTTGTATATCATTAATAAAAGGATGCATAAAAAGTATTAAACTGTCGTCGTGTAGCGTGCATCGTGTTTTACTGCACGTACACGCGTATTTCTTAATTATGTATTTTTTTGTTTTGCTTTATATTCGAAAATGAAAACAACATATTTCTGAATGTATGCATTATTTTTCCTTGTAGTCCAGTGAAAAGAGAAACATTTTCAGTAAATACTCAGATATAGGCGAGATCATAACTGACAATTCCAAGTCACAAGGTCGTCGAAGCTCTTCTATACCAAAGTCAGAAAAGTTGGAAATAGAACATGTGCCTAATGGAGAAATCGAACAAGTTCCAAAACAGCGGGAAGAGAAAAATGAGGTGGTACCTCCAAATGCCTCAGAACCAGAAGTTAAAACAGAACAGCTTCAGGATAACACCGATCCAACGCAAGAAGATGCGGACGAACAGATTGGAAAGGATGGTGCACCAACAGTACTTCATAGTGCTCAAAAGAAGAAAAGTGTCTGTGTGACTGAGGTTCCTGTTGAACAGATGTCAGCTACAGAAACGGGTGAATCTGTCGACGAGGACGAGGAGGTCTTCAAACTTACACAACGAAAGAATACAGAAGTTCCCATCGAAAAGAAAGTAGATTTCCGCTTACTTGACATTAGTCCTGTAACCACACCAGTAGTTTACCGACCAGAGACTCGAGAGAACACAACTCTATCTAGTGGTACTATGATGAACAGAGTTTTACAGGGTTACAATTATAGGCGATGTCATCCAGAATCTAAGATGATTCAAATCTATGTTTGTTCAGAGTTTGTGGGTAAGTGTTTTTGTAAATCGTGTTACCGCAGCTTCTTCTTTATTACGTTATCTGGTAATACATCTTATTCTCCTATCCTCATCCAACAAGCCGAAGTCGTCCGTCGATATCTACCTCAGCAAGATGACATTTCCGGTACACTAGTAGGCTTGATTTTCGGAGGATTTTAATCGACAAACGAGACTGATTAAAACGAAAAAATCACCAATTTTATTAGCTATCCTTTTCCTCTATATGAGAAATCGCCAATCTGTTCTAATGAAAATGACAAAAATCTGTGTTGCTAGATGCAAATTGAATTGTTCGGCCTCAATGGATCAGGATGCTATTCTACATCTTATTTTTAAAATTGTTCACAATTCTCAAGACCAGATTAGTCCACAATAAACTTGTGGTGGTTTTATAATTTTAATATTTCACTTTCAGGGACGGAAGTTGAAAGAACACATTTGATGGAGAAGGTATATCCTAAAATAAGACGATATTGTCTGGAGAAAGGCTATGATTTTAGAGCTATTGATCTACATTGGTCGTTACAAGATGATGTCATAGATGATCATAGATTACCCAAACTTTGTCAACAAGTTATAGGGGATTGTCAATCTGATTCAACAGCAATAGATTTTCTGGTGAGTGTAAGGTCATTAGGAACTGCATAATCCTTGGTTCAACTTAAAGCAAGGTTTAACGTCTATATGACGTGACATACAAAGTGAACAGTTAGCCTAGATCAATCGACACTTTTAACGGAATGAAAATACTAAAAAAACTCGATTGTTTCAGACGATGTTGTTAAAGGACAAAGCTTTTTGTACCACTGCAAATTTGTGACCAGATTTCGTTTCTATTTCCAGATATTATGTGGTGAAAAATATGGAACATACGTTCTTCCACCAGAAATTCCGAAAGATGAATTCGAAGAAATTTATAACACAGCCAAAGCCTTTTATGACGAGGAAATGCAATTCATTAGGGACAAATTGATAGCCATTGACTCTAATCAAGATGTAAATCTAGACGCCAAAACTGAAGCATCAAGTGAGAATACAAATTCCGAAACAGCAGCTACCGACGATAAACCAAAGATTCGAGGACGGAAGAGTGTTATTAGAAAAGAGACCATCAGAGATTTGAAAGCTAGAGAAGAAGCATTGCCCGACGTGAAAGCATTAGAACAATGGTATATTTTAGATGAGAATAGTGTTCCCCCTGTTTATCGTCTACAAAACATAAGGTACGTATTGAAATAGTAGAAGCGGACGTTAGATACCGAACTAAAAATGGTTTATCGTAACATGGCCAAACATGGTTACGATGTCGTCGAAACATTTAACACGTTTTCTCAAAATCAGATGAAGATCTAACTTTTATCACGATAACTAGCCAATTGTTGTCAAGGACTTAAAACGGTCAAATTCGATGTACCTACTACTTTTCATCCAAATATGATTTAGCCGGAAGGATAAACAGACATGGGTTCACGTGTTTCACGCCTCTGTACATGTGGTATACAAAACCAAAATCACCACTCACCACCATATTTAAGTCGGCATCGTCATCATCCTTCATTACAAATTGCTTTAAATTATATTCAACTTCTAAATCGTCCTATATATTAATTATTATATCAACTTTGATTATTTAAATTCTGACGTGTTCATCTTGCATCTTATTTGAAGTGTACTGTGATATGTTTCCTCGTTACACATCGAGTGAATGTATGTGAATGTTCTGTATTGCGCAAATTACAGTGATTTTCTTGACTGACAGCTCATGTTAAGGGACCATAGGAATTGAAGAAGCATACACGCTCAAATATTTTCATCAACAGTATTGACATCAAATTATTTGTCTTTTTATCGTGTCTGGTAGACATTGACGACCAAAAAGTATAATTCGTTAAGGTGCAAAAAGACGTGACGTTGAACTCTTGTTTATAACCAAAATCAACTCGTCATTTAAGTACACTTCTTCGAGAAAATATGACGAATGGGGTGTGGTTTGGACACGAAGTGTAAAAATTAATCAAATAACTAAGCGTTATTGTCGTCCTTGTATTTTGAATTATCTCAACAAATTGCAATAATTGTATTTTCAGCTCATTTTATAAAGAAATACTCAATAAAGATACAGCAAAACGGACCCAAGCTAGACAAAACTACGGCTCTGTTATGAAGAAATTATTAAAGATATTACAAGAATATGCTCCTAAAGTTCTCGATGACCCTGAAGATAGACGGAAATATTTTATCTCTTGTAAGTTTCGATTTTAATAATCCGTTCAAATATAGTCCTTGAAATACTGTCTCCTTCATTTTCTTTGGGAATCTTCATTCAATGTAGATCTGCCAATATCCATCCAAAATCAAGTTAAATCATCACTTGATTGATTTGACTTCATAAATATTCATAACTTTTTTTTGTCTCTTTTGGCATAAGGGGCAAAATAATTGAGTAAAGTGCAATACCTTATGAAGATCAACTTGTTATCTATATCTATAGATATATAAACTGCTTTCAGTGTTCGAGATGGAGTTAGAACATGGCTTAGAAACAGACAACTCATCACCCCACTGTCTTCTGATACAAAGAACCATCAGAAATGTTAAAAATAATCTCGATGACGTCACGTCCGCTAAATATTTGGATGTCACTCATCCTAGAAGTCAACAAATGGACAAGTCGAGAGAAGAAAGGATAGAACATCTACGAGAAACTGTCTTGCCAATGAAGGTATGAACTGTTTTCTACAAACCAGCATGTAATAGTTTGGTATGAAAGAATATGCATACCACAGACAGGAAATTGTATTTAAAAATGAACGTGTTACGTGATATCTTTATATCATTTGATCAAAGCACTGATTTTATCCGGTTTGTAAGTTTGCAAATCTATCTTACCCCTTTAACATTTTGTGTTCACTGTATCTAGGTTCCCGAATCATATCGAACAGAGTTCAAGATTGAATGGTATGGCGGAGGAATCAACCCACAAACTAAACGAGAACATTCAGCATATGTTGACAGAATGTGCAAAGCGGTTTTGGATACGCTAAAAAGAGATATTGGTACAGCATTAGATGACGAAGGATCGATGTCCAATGAACAGGTTAAGTTATATGAAGAAGTTTCTCAACATGTCGCTCAATGTCATCATAGGTAAACAACTTAAAACATTTTTAACTTTGATGGGTTTCAATTATAAGCGAAGACATCAAAGACACAGAGCGATGACCAAACCATACAGAATTGCCAATCATACTTAGAAGACAACGTTGAATTCATATAGGCCTATTGTTTAAAATGGAAAGCTTTTTTTTCACCTTTTCCTGTGTAACAAAAGGCAATTTTCATGTTACAGATCCAGAAACTTTCACGGTAGGAAGGAGTTGTTGCAGACAATAAAAGCATACATGAGATCTCCTACCAAACTTCCCCTGGTTGTTCATGGCAAATCAGGAACGGGAAAATCAGCATTACTGGCCAAAGCTACCAAAGAGATTTACAAGTGGTTTAAAGGGTAAGCTTATAAATATACCAAATAAACAGCTTTAGCTATGTGGATTCCCCATAAGGAAAATTGAATTCATTTACATGCTCTTGAATGGAATATTTTTATGATAAAATTCAGTTTTTTTTATCAACTGTTATATTCTGCATTGCATCTGTGAAACTCATATTTTAGTTATTTCCCTTTAGGCAGTCAGTGGCTAACATTAGGAAGCCCTACGATGTTGAGGATTTGTTGGCCAAATCCCCAAACACCTAATCTTCAGATGACGATTCAATTCCGTACTAGTATATAGGATGTTACATAATCCTCTTCATAAAACCCTTTTCAGAACGGATATAAGAGTGATATACAGGCAAATAGCTACGACCATGGCCTCTACCAATATCCGTACCTTATTAAGAAGTATATGTCTACAGATGTGTGAGATTTTTGATGATAATTCTTGTGACATTCCTTCGGTAAGAATGATAAGTTTTTATATCCTTAAACTTTTGCATCTTTTAAATCAGTAATCTTTAATTGGTATATCCTGTCAACACTTTGTTGTTAGTTTTATAAATTTCAATTTCCGTGAATTTCAGGATTTTAAAGGTATCGTGAATGATTTTGGATATCGAATGCAACAGGCGACTAAACAGAAGCCACTAGTTATTGTTTTAGATGCTCTGGATATGCTCTCGGGTAAGTTTTCTCGTTATAATTATTGTTCTATCTTAAAGCAATGACTCATCAAGCTTTCATTTTCCAAATTCTTGAACACAGTCCCAAGAGATAACTGGCACATGACCACGTTTGTTTCGCTAACCTTTATTCATAGAGTCAATTGTCATCAGACTACAAGGCATGTCAGCACAATTTTTGGAGACGAAGTAAAGAGCTTTAAGAGCCTATAAGTAAATACGCACTACTATGTAAACAGAAATTAAAAACATATTTAGATATCTGAAGAGGGTGTCGATTTTCAATCTCGGCAAATCATCTTGATTGGTATGTTTCAGATGCCCATGATGGAAGAAAGCTAATTTGGTTACCCAAAGATGTTCCGGATCACGTCCATATCATAGTTTCTACTCTTCCGGATGATAAATACCTCTGTTATCCAATATTAAAGAAACAGTACGAAGGAAGCGAAAATTGCTTACTGGGAATTTCAGATATGCCTGAAAATGATGCCATAACTATCTTACATCACTGGTTGAATTCCCATAATCGGGCTTTAACAGACGAACAGTACGAAGTACTCCTAAATGCTTTTGAAAAGTGTCCAACCCCTCTGTACCTCAAATGTGCTTTTAACGAGTCTCTCTCGTGGACATCGTACACAAATCCTGAAATGGTCAAGTTGAGTGAAACGGTTAAAAAGATAGCCACCATAAAATTTGGAAGACTGGAGCGAGATCATGGCGAAGCGCTGGTGAAACGAGCTTTAGGATATATCACTGCGTCCAGAAGTGGTATCACTGATCTTGAAATGGAGGATTTACTGTCAATGGATGATGTAGTAATGGATGAGGTTTATGCTTTTCATAAACCTTGTAGTAGGCGCCTCCCACAATTCAAATGGGAAAGTCTAAAAGTGGACCTTGATGACTACTTGTTGAAACGTTCCGCTGACAACACCACTACTCTATGTTGGGCGCATGTAGATTTCTGTGAAGCTGCCCAAGAACGGTACTTAAATCAAAGGGATAAGGCGCCATCATACCACAAAGCGCTCGCTGAGTATTTCAGAGGAATATGGGTGGATAAGCCGAAACCATATGCAGGAAATGACAAAGGTGCTGATAGATTGCTGTCGCCACAACCACTATATTTTGAACCAGAGAATCCTAACCCAAGCGGAAGTGATCGAGTTTACAATTTAAGGAAGCTAAACGAACTACCATACCACCTCCTCAGTTCACAACAAAACAGTCTTCTAAAATCTGAAACATTATGTAACTTCGAATGGATTTTAGCTAAATTATGTGGTACCTCGCTTACAGCATTACTTGAAGAATATCAGTTTGCTCACAGTGTTGATGAAAAGGACTTCGACTTCAAAGCTTTATCTGATGCCCTCCATTTATCAAGCAATGCCTTATTATGCGAACCAAAACAACTTGCATCTCAACTTATTGGTCGACTTCATGGTATTTTGTCAAAAGACGTTCCAGCTACTGCTGGCGATCCTAGAAAATATCCATTTCTTCACAATCTTGTAGCTCAAGCCGAAAATTCTTCACTCCCTGCTCTTATTCCGTCCCATGGATGCCTCACTGAACCCGGGGGAATCCTTTTTGATCTACTCTCAGGGCACACTGAACCAATTACGGCAGTTACGCTTACAAATGACGGATTCAAAGCTGTTACATCTTCAAAGGATGGTACTATGAAATTATGGGATTTGAGATCAGGAAAGGTGGTGAAAACGATAGAAAATGTTGGTCATCATGTATCAAGAATTCGACTGGCCATGAATAACACATACGCCATTACCTCCGAAGATAACGTCATCAAAATTTGGTCCATAACCACTGGAGCCAACATCCATACCATTTCTGAATACGTTGATCCAGCAGTTACCATCACTGCATCCGATAGTTGTACACTGGTGGCATGCTTCTATGGTTCGAACATGATTAGAACCTGGGATCTCGGTACCCTAACCTTCACCGGAGAGGAACGTATACCAGGAAGTTGTATCCATAAAGATAGATCTATTTTAGCCGCCGATAATTCACCGACAGATAAAGTTCTTGTAGCTTTTAGAAGTGCCAACACAGCTTTAGTTATTGGTGCCAGATCTAAAAAGGTGCTACAAAAGTTAGTTTGCAACGAGGAGTCTTCTTCTATAGTCGCCTTAGCTATTACGTCAGAATATTTTGTTGTGGGTTGCCGACAGCAATATATGAAACTCCACGAAATTTATCAATTGGAACTATTTGACGCAAAGAAGGGTTATTATATAAGAAGTGTGAGAGGATGTACTCACGATCAACTGTCAGAATTGCACCTGAATCTACATGGATCTCACGCCATTGCTGTTTGCACTTCGGAGAGAAATAACACATCCGATATAGCTCTGTGGAATTTAGAAACTGAAGATCATAAACATCTTGCCACACATGCACGACTTTCTACTATTGGGGCTTGTTGCGATTTCCGGTTTTGCTTAACTGCAGCTAAAGACGACAACACTTTAAGAATCTGGAATTTAAGTAAGCAAGTAAATCAACACGCTCCAAAATTAAAGAAGGCATTAGGTGTTGGTCAGATTTTCCCTATGAAGGAGTACCCTCGTTATGTTGTTGCCAAAGCTGTAAACCATGGACCAATAAGTGTTTGGAACGTAGCCAAAGCCAAGTGCCTGCAGACGGCTGTTAGAATTGAAAGAGGAATGACCGAAACATCCGACGTGGTTATTGCTCTTAATAGCCAACTTGTCATTTTAACTGATAGAGGATTTTCAAATGCAACCGACGATTCCAAACCAGTTTTTCAAACAGTGCTAATCTACAACTTGAAAACCAAACGTTATGAAAGAAAGTTAACAAGTTGTTATATTGTACCCGCACCATCTCATGAGTATGTATTACTTGATGAAAATCATCTGATGGGACCATCTGATAACAGAACCCATTTCGTTGTGTGGAGTTTACAAACTGGACAAGTCACTTACCGAATCAGAACTGACTTCAAAGAAAAAGTTGCCAAAACCAAGATGGCTAAAGGATTAGCTCTGTTGGGAATCGGTGGAAATAAGAAGAAACGTGCTTCAGATTTATCCATGACACCGTGGGATCTTCGTGCTGAATCGGATGCTGATCGAGAAAGGCGACACCAGAAGGAAAAGGAGCAAGAAAGAAATCGTTTAGCTGAGTTGAAGAAAGAGAAGGAAAATTCCATGGAACAGTTTATAGTCAGTGGTAATCAGAAGAAAATAGTCGCTTCATTTTTCGCTCATCATCTGTGTGTGTTCGATATTCCTTCCCAGACACATACTCAGGTCATCGAAAATGAACACTCGATGATGTTCCTGCACGTAGCAGCATTGACATACGATGGAGATCACCTTGTTCATGCAAATTATGACGAAGAAAGTAAAATCAGTTACGTTACATTATGGGATTTAACGACAGGTGAAGTAAAACGTAGACTCAAAAATGAAAGTGACGTTTGTTCTATTGGAATAACAGACAATGCCAACAGAGTTGTAATAGGAAAATCACCCAATGAACTTCATATTTGGGACCCCATGTCTCCAAATTCACTCAAAAAGATCAAGGGATATTCTGGTCTAAAGTTTTCTATGGGAAGCAAGATATTTATCACTGAAGAGGGTCGGCGTGCTATTGTTCTAGCGGGTGACATATCTGTATGGGATATAGAAAACGTATCGGTTATGGCAGTCTTCACACCAGACACCAAGATAATGTGTTGTGAACTGGCTTACCACGATAGTCTGATAACGTTTGGCTTGTATGAACGTTCAGAGGTGATTATATTAAAACTTATGTGTAAAGGACAACCTGTAAACAAAGTTGAAGATTCTAAGGATGAAGATTTGGGTGCGAATGTGTTTGGTGAGAAGATTGAGTCCTCTGATGAAGAAGACGATGAGGATGAAGGATGAAAGACCAATCTAACTGATCTAACTTGTCCAAATCACGACCAGCTTATCGCTAATAATGAGTCTTCAACTTCGGCTTCTTTGGACTGAATTGAGAAGGTTAAATGTTCTCATTGCACCTTCTCCCGTCTTGTGCTGATTTTCGACAAGACTACATACATTTCTATGAAGTAGGAGTCCACGAAATGACTACAATAGTGAACCTGTCTCTGAATGAAGGCTTAGATTATTTCTGGTGTTCCAATAGAAGTCAAACGTTCTTGATGCGAAATGTTTTTTCTGAGATTTTTATTAGTGTACAACGAGTGCTTAGAATTGTCCAAATTAATTTTTGTTGAATTTTTATAGTTTATTTTGATAGGTGTGACTTATAAACGAAGGAAACTGTTGTTTCGGACATGTTACCACGCAGCATTATAATGTATCATATAGTTTGATTTTTGACTCTAATATATAACCAATGCTTTAATTCAGAAAAAAAATTCTTTGATTTATTACTCAATTCAAGAAAGCGTGACTTCCTGATGCAAGTATTTCTGATCCAAAATTTCCATTCCAAACTGCCCACATCAGCCATCAGCTGACGACTAGATTTACAAAATCTATATATAAACATTCTAACTTTACTTTAACACGAAGCTTTTTTTGCAATATCCTCGATGTTCAACGTAAAGAACAAGCGTTTTTTTTTATGTGTATGTTCAATCGAACATGTACCTTATTTATCTCAAATTCCATGTCCTTTTGTAATCAGTGTATTAAGTGACATCTGCTACTTTTTTTTTTTGATGTATACTTTTGTCTACCAAACACAAAACGCGAACTTTTTTGGTCGATATATATGTCGTAACATGTAGCCAATTAGCCAACAAAAAATTTTAGTACAATTAAGTGACAAATTTTTAGCTTCTATATATTATGTGTCATGGAAGGTTATTTGTGTATTTTCACATGTTTAAATGGCAAGAGCTTCGAAGTTTTTACCTGTTTCGGTTAACACAGTAAATACATTTATGGTTTGGTTTTTGAATAACCATCAAATACAAAGCTCTGTATTTGGAGAATCTTTTAATTTCAATGGATTTAACTAAAAAAAAATTTTTTTTTGCTTATAGTTAAGACTATGATATATACATTTATGATTTGACCAGGAAAGAAATTTTCAATTAATCGAATTATACTTCTAAATATAAGTAATTGTTAATAATTTTAAGTGTTTCCAGTTTGGAGAATATTTGTTAAATCGATCTATTAAATTACTTTAAGCTAGCTGTGATATTTTAAGATGTTAAATATTGTAAAATCTATTTGAATTATAACTTAGTTATTTTATGGTGTTAAATTCTATTTTTGTAATATTGTTTTGTTTATAAAAATATATTTGAAAATATGAAAAGTGTGTTTCATTTTTTTTTTACAATTTCTGATGCAAGGACGAATATGGGGTATAAATACTCTAATCTAAAATCAACGGATCAAGTCCCAAAATCGCTGGAATCAACAAAACAATGGTCTGATAGTAAGGTCCAGGCCGTAGAGTAATGGAGGCATAAACGACTTCAAAATTTTAGAAGTGTCTTTTTGTCATAATATTATTTTAAATCAACCCAGGCCCCCTCATATTTACTAATTCCAATTTTATCTCACTACCGTCTAAAAAATCCCACCTTTCAATATGAGTGTCTCATTTATAATTTGTGAACGTGAATGAAAGTTCTTGAATTTGGAAGTCATGGTATTATTTTGGGCGTATTGTTGAATGAACAGGAAATAATTATCTGAAATAAAACAGGGTCAATAATACTATTATATTCTAATTGACTCAAGTGTAAAAAATATGCCTTTTATAGCTCAAGTCCGTCAATAAATTACTTCCCTTATCGATTTTTTAATTTGAAAAACAATTTTAGACGTATATCATTTCTCGCTTTTGACATTCTGCTTCTATTTATCCTAAACAGTTTTACCTGGTCGTCAATCTAAGCTAGGTGTTCTTGTCATTGATAAAATCAGATGAGGACGATGATCACTAACGATCAACAACTACATGCCAATAATGATGTGTCTATGATTAACAATGATGTTTTCATAACGTATGTCTAATCCCGTGCCATATTTGGTATACTTTTTCGAAATGAGTATAAAGGTTAAAGCAAACTTTTTGAAAAATGGAAATCATACATCGTCCTCTGCAATAATATGATGCATTTATCCGTTTTGATATGATATATATTTTAAATTTAAAAAAATATGTTAAAGCGCACTTATCACGTCTTACGAATGGTGAAAATCTTACAAAATTTACTTTTTTATAGACAAAATAAAGTGTGACGCATTGGACAATATGACTGGGTCAAAGTTCAATAATAACAAAAATTTAACATTTGCTTTAATAGAGGTACATATATATTCTTACATGATCTTGCAAAACGAAACGTAATAGAGGCCTCATAAATCCAGAAGATCCAGTTAAATAAAAGACAATAATTCGGATATTATTTCGGATGTAATAATACAGTGGTAAATACGAGGGGGTAAGTTTACACATTGCTACATTATTAAATGAGTTTTGTGGATTGATTACAAGTTCGTTTTATTACATTAAGGTTAACTTTAAACTCGACCATCCATCGACTTAACATTCTAAATAAGTTTGGAATTTTTTTGTACAAGATAAATTTATGATTTGAAGAAATCCTAAAAAGAAATGATTGTTTTTTAGGATCACAAACACCACAGTTAAACCAAATAAATGTTAGATATTCTGTATTAGTTAATTGTCTTTTTCTTTTCATTTTAGCTCAAGGTAGAGCATAACAAGCGGAGTTGGGTGTCCATCCAGTGTATCACCAACGAATTGCTAAGAAAACTTGGAATTGTTAGCAATGTTTTTTATCATAGAATCAGTGGTCATTCACTACTGTTTCTTGCCAGAGATCCAAAGATTTCGTTTTATCCTTTATGGACGCTTTTTTTGCCAATGTTTGAACTAAAAGGGTTCTGTCTGTTTTATTTATAACAACTAGTTTCTTTTGTATGCAGATTTTTTTATATTGAGCTGGTTTTAACATACTGCTAAGTTCAGTAAAGGAACGTTGCATAATCACTAGCACATAAATTACAGAATATCCAAATTCAACAGCCTTTTTAGAATAGACAATTTAACCATTACAGCATTTTGAATACAGCATTTTTTTTATTTAGTGGATAATAAAATTGTAGATCCGAATTTTACGTTAACAGACACATACACTGACAGAAAGCACTGATGATTGGTATATCACCTGGTTCCGATTAGGTTGGTTTAGATCAATCGGTTTTAAAGAACATAATCACAGTAAACAACTACATATGAATCTTGAAGTATGATGCAAATGATATGACTTAAAATTTGGTCTGCAGCCTGCAGCACGCATCTGCTAAAGCGAGTCATTGGAGCGAGTCCTGAAAAAGAAGAGCCAGAATGATTTCATAGCAAACATATTCTTACAGAACGTTAAAATATTATCAAGTCATGTTGCAATAGGCGTTGTCCGTAGCGGTGTTCGTTGCGGCATTATCGATACAGTAGAAAATAGTAGCAGCGAATAGTGTCCGCACCGTGTTCGGACCCGTATGTCGAGTATGCCCTTTTTGCCCCTTCTGTATCGATTATTCCTCACCGTAAACCGTCCTGAACACCATATCTCTTCTAATTTTTCTAAGTTAAATTAAGGGCAATCATTAGCTTCATATTGACTACAGAAATACAAACCAAACTTTTCTTACCAATTAGCTGCGTTGATAACCAGGCAAAAATTTAGTTTGTAGATTATATAAATCCAATGGACTAGAGGTTGGTAAACGTTGCCGTTGTTCTTCTTGCAATATATATAGTAAATATCGTAATAATTTTTCGTCTTCTTGAGGTTGAGATTCTTTTGCTTTTTGCACCTAAAAGAAAAACAGCAGATGCCTAAAATATTACAAATACACAAGATATATTAAAAAACATTGGCCTTTTTTGAATAAGGCGAAGACAATAAAGTATAAAAAAAACGGTAGTCTAAACATGTTCATACGCTAATTTTTCAAATTATTCATCTGATAAGCAATTATAATTGTCTCTTTTGCATTTGCAGACTAATTCGGCGACGTCAATAGCAATCAAAAATATTTATTGAAGGTCTGTGGACGCCAAACTCATACGGAATCTGTCCACTTAAACAGTAATTGACTTGCATCTGAGAACGGTGACGACATAAGTCAAGTTTATGAAGTGGTTAGTGATATCAAAATGTGTTGATGCATTCGAAATCCAATATGTGTGTGATGATATCGACGTAATCGCTTTAAGTACATGGCAACTTGTTTAATAAGGAAACAAAGCATATTTATTAAGTAAATTCTAAAAAAAATCATAACTTACTTGTGGTTGTCTGGATCTTTTTGTAAACTGAAAGAAAGAATACATACTTCAGTTACATACAAATCGATCGCACATGAAATGAAATGAAATGAATAGAGTTTTACGTCCTACTCTTCTGCACCATGCAGGGTGCCATGAGGGAAATTTTGCCAGGACAGCGGCATTAGCCTGCTCTTTTTCGATTTCCAACTGTCGAGGGATCTTTAACGTGCACAACCTGTAGCACACGGGGCCTCGGTTTATTGTCCCATCCGAACGACTAGACGCTTTTTCCATGTCAGCTCCTCTTACCTGCATCACTGACAGGGGGAAACCGGGTTGAAAAATCCGAAGGTATTATCTCGACCCATGCCGGGATTGAACCCTGGAACTTCAGGTTAGCGAGCAAGCGTCTAACTCACTGAGCCACCGCGGCTCCCCGCACATGCATGAGAATTCCATTAGCCTAAATTGGAGCGGAGAAGAAGAACGATTTCACTTTGTTCACCTGATTTCTTTGGACAACTGGAGTCAAATCTCTTTTGTATTACAACTTAATAATCATTTCGCTCACAAATTACTAGGCCTACACACAAGATATGCTAAGTAATCAATTAACAGAATTTTTTTGTACAGAGTACTTACCCCTCCCGGACAATCCTGCATGCATTAAAAAATATATCAAGAATTATTCAACAAAAAGAGAAAAATTACTTAATATTTAACATAACTTGCCAGGAAAAGTAACTTACGTCCATGACAGCAATCAGACATAACTGTACTATTCATTACCAATTCAATACTGAATTACTTTGATCAAGCCAAGGGCAATAACTCAAAACCTTTATCATAATTGTATGAATTCGTCCTAGATCATCGCTAGCGATATGCATACCTATACCAATTTTTTTTTTTATCAAATTCGTCTCAAACCTGTAGATTCTATTGCGCTCATAAAAAAATGTTATTTGGCCTACTAAACGGTGGAAATAGGTGGAGGCGACGTGGCATTATAAGATCTTTTTGGGCCTTTTGAGGGGATTTGAAGGACTCACTAAAACCGTTACTATAGACAGATCGTAAGTGTGACAGAGTTGCGCTATGTAGGGTAGCCAATATCTGGTTCTACATGACACAATAAACCAGGATGTTGTATCTTTATTAGTTCCAAGGTTACAGTCTTCTGTAGGATTTCAAAAGATGAACTAAAACCATTAGATACAGACCAGAGTCAAACAGAATTTCTGCTACGCGGAAGATCATTTTAGAATATAAAATAGTTGCTATGAACATCACCCATATTGTCATTAGAGACAATAATGCATATAAAATTGCTTCTTACCCTCGGCGACGCCTGTAAAAAAATAAAAGTCAAATAAGTGAACGAAAATAGCAACGAAACATGTAATGTGTTTTTGATTCGACTAAAATGTTTGATCATTGATGTAATTTTTTTTTATCTATGATCTGAGAATATTGCTATCAATCAGGAATTCCAAGTTAATAACATATTCAATAATTAGATTTTTTTCGATGCAAAAATACATGTGGATCATTCTAGAATATTGGCTTAGTATAGACATTTCACCTTTATAAGTGTTAATGAACTCGATTTCAAGAGGAATTACGTTAGATGATCATGAATGTTGAATACAGAAACAACACGATTTTTTAAGCAGATTGCAGGTGTTATCCAAGAATATGATTCGAACTGATTTAAGCTCATTTTATAACATTGCTACATGCAAGAAGTTTCATCCAACATAATTGTAACAGACTCGTTGTTGAAATGAATTTAGACTGGGTTGGTTGAAGAATATAAAGGGCACTTACCTCACACATCTAATATCCAAGGAAAGCATAAATAAAAAAAGATTAAAATTTATTCACGAACGATATCTCGTCAGAAACTTGCTGACCTTGGCCAATCTTTGGTAGTTAATGCTCATCGGCGAGCATAGTGAGCGAAAAAATATTCTTTTATTAAATCTCGAGAGTAGGGTA